TCTTTCCCGGTGTGTTTAAGTAGCTCACAAAACGTCACTTTAGGAAATTTCACGTTGTAGTGGTGCAGTGACGGCAAAGAGACGTAGCAAAACGCGTGATACATATAAAATTGTGGTTTTGTTTACTGAACCGGTTACGAACCTAATACCCGGCTTTGACTTGTTCACGTTGCCGTCGCCATACGTGAGGCTGCTTTTTAATAACTCCCTATTGCTCAGGCTTTTGCTCTATTCAGTCGAGGTAGAAATAGTCTCGCGTAGTTGGCTTTAAGAACGAGGAAAATTTATGTTTTCTATGTTTTCCTCTTGATCGCGCGCTAACTATACTTGGTGATCGAAATCTCTCTGTAGTTTCAACACGCCGCGACTTATTGTATCGAAACGACCGGTTTCCTTTTGTTCAGTTCACTTTACTGAAGGTTCTTTCTTTAAAACTTAAGTATAGTTACAAAAAACTTAAAATGTTTTGTAGTTAAAACGGTTTTTCACTGTTGCTTTAAACCAACATCAGTAAAGTCCTAGTGTCGTTGAATAATTTACGAAAATACGACTTGAAATAAACTGTAAACATACAAGTATTTGTCACGTCCCGTGTTGAAAAAAACACATCTTAATGAAATTCTGCACCTTCATATCAAGGAAAGTTCATAATTTGATAGAAACACAAAAAAATATTGAGATATCCACATTTTAGGGGTAATTTCACGCAATTTCTTTCACTGGGATTTTACGTGCAAAACCACTCGAAATATTTACAAACCTTCGAACCACCTGGTGCGCTTAACCAATCAGATCGCAGAACTGGCACACACCCCCAACACGCCTTCATGAATTTTCCAATCGCAGAGTCATCTTCGGATGAAAACACGGAACAACAAATTTTGTTTCCCCAGCGAAGCGCATCCAAATCAAAGTTGTCAAAAATAACTATAAATTTCCAACAAAAACGATCATAGAGGGGAATAAAACGGTCCTTTAACATAAAAATGCTTTTTATTTCAAAATATATGCAAAATATTTGTCTCTCAAAAGAACACGACAGATGCCTTTGTAATTATGTGGACTTTGAACTCGTGCGTTTCGCTTTGAACATTTTAGGTAAAATGATGAGCTGGAAGTAAAACATACGCCAAAAATTTCTTCCCTTAAGAAAGGAAACTCTCCAGAAAGCATTACTCTGACTAGATCGTACTAAAGTACCCGAGAAATGATCATATACAATTCAAAACAATCTCCCAAGAGGGTATGCCGGGGGCGGCGGCAGCTACCGCCTTTAACATGGCATTGAAACTGCTTGAGAGTACACACGAATTTATTTAAAAGTCCCAGTTAGAATGTTAAGAAAAAGACCTTCTAAAGTATTTTCTACAGCTTTGGTTAACTTAATTTACAATATTTACATATGGGTAGTTAAAACACCAAGCTCAAACTTATCGATCTCTTACCTGTCTGCACTTGGGCGCGCGAACTTCCCGAAGCAACGGCGGTTGGAATTCCCAGTTTATGGGCTTCTTGAGCGAATCGAACAACGCACTGGATCGCTGTAACAGACGTTAGTCCTTCTAGAAAGTATTTCCTTTTCTGGTCGTAAATAGCGCACGGATCAAGCTTGATTCCTTGCTGCTTTGCTAAAACATTGATAATTTTTTTACCGGGCACGCCCGCTAGAGTATAAAAGTCTTTCTTGCGAAAGACAAGACCAGTTTCGTTGCATATTTTGCACCATGCTCTCCAGTGGATCGGCATCGTATCAACAAGAGTCCCATCGCAGTCGAACACTAAGGCCTTTACACTTCCAGGTATGAGACGTGAATCAGGAATCATTTTGTTCGATCGCGAGTCAATATCGATGAAGTAAGTTACGTTAGATTAATCGTTCGATCCCTTCAAGGTATTTTTCCATCGACAGCGGTCACTTGAGAGATCTTCCTTGACCCTCGTTAGGGCTCTAGATGGAATATGTAGGCGCAAAAATGCACAAGATCGACGAGGAGGTAGCCCTCCACTGTCGTTGGGAAAATTCACTTTGCCTTGCACTTTGCCCTTCCGACACAAAACATCACTTATTGACAATGCCATGTGCAAAACCATGACGTCATATGTCACAGCCAATTGGCCAATGCGCATACAGGCGTTTTCTATTTATATTTTTGGGTTGTCATCAGTTACGTTTCTATGACATTGCGAAAGTTTGAAAAAAATGGTTCATCAAAAAACTTGACATAAGATAAAAGTAGAATGTTTGTATTGTCATCGGCACTCACTGTATTCCCTTAATCTTGTGTCTTAAAAGTTCTCCAAGCCATACATCCAGGGCAGGAGCCCATGGGCTCCTCTCCATGGTCATGCATTTGTTGTTTTCCGCAATAAACAGATAATATGCAAAAGGGACATGAACCGGAAAACCCACTGTCATCCAGCAAGTTGTTGTATTGTATCATCCTCCACTTTCACTGGCAACTGATCCTCGACAGTTTGATAAGAATACGGTATATTTTATTCTCATTCAAAAATAACTTATTTAAACTTAAAGTTTTATACTTAACCTCATTCTGAATCCTTGGTTTGCAACCATGTAACATCGGTCACGGTAGGGGTCAATGAAATAATTTTTCCGAAAGATTTACATAAAAAAATGGAGTTCAGCTCCCAGTAGAGAGTAATGCTTTTGTAAGTTGACCACCAAATGATGTCAGTTTTGGAATAAAAAGGGAAAGAATCCTGGCAGACTCCTATATAAAAAAGACGAGTACCGCTTCATCTTCAGAGTTTGTTTTGTTTGTTTGTTTGTTTGTTCCTTTATCATGTTGCATAGTCAGCATTTCTTTACGCACGACCCTATTAAACGAAAACCTTAATGCAGAAAACAATGGCTTTCCGTCTAGCTTGCATAGCTGGCGGTTTTTGTTGGAAAGGGGCAGGGTGAGTGAAGCGAACTCAATTTCGCCGCTCGTTCGCACGCGCTTTCGTAGTTTTGCCGCTGATTTCGGCTCTCGCCAGACAAAATCACCAGCTACGCCCGCTTCTTTCTGGGTATCCTTGTCACTGTCTTATGGGAGTCTTCCTCCCGGGGGAATGAATAAACAACACTGGCATCTGTCTTTTGGGACGCGTCTATTCAGGGGACACTAAATTTGGTCCCGGAAAAAAGTTCACATAATCTTTGTATTTGTTACCTCTATTGAAGGGACACCTCTTTTCAGGGGAAAGGGACAATTTTTCAGGGTCCTGAAGCCCATTCAGGAGACACCTTAGCCCTCAAAAAGTGACTGACCGCAAAATTCGTAGCCTGCGTGCAGACGATAACTAAACTCTGATTAGTACTGTCTGCGAAGCAGCGCAGACATCCTTGTTCTGGACCCCCAACGGACTCAACGGATTACCGGAAGTGCGTTTCGAATTCCCCTTCAACCTGATTGGCGATCACGACAAACAAAACAAAGGCCCTTTTTAACTGGCCAATCGTGGCGCGTACTCAAATCTGGGTACACAGCTGGAAGTCCAGAACAAGGATTTCTGCGCTGTTTCGCAGACGGAGTTAACCAGAGTTTAATTTCGTCTGCGCGCAGGCTACAAAATTCGTTGATAAGTTTGAGTATTCAACGTGTGCGATACGGGCACATTCATGCACACAAACATTCAATTTCTAATGTTTTTGTTTTCCGTGCTACATCATTTATGCTTTGTGGAAACTTTTAAGACTCGGAAATTCAGCATGGAATTTTCTGGGGGTTGACGTTTAGTCCAGGGGTTTTTTGGGGCATGTTGGAAGCCCCAGGGATTTCTTGGGGTTTTGATTTATGCCCCATTCGATCATCCCGTCACTTCCGGAGTACCTCCCCGCCCCAATCCCCCGGGACTACAGTAGCGTGCAGTATGATACTATAATAAAGGGGCAATGGCATCGGTCGAGATGACTTTCGGGTGACTTAACCGTAAACCCTTTTGCATTTTGGAGACTCAACAATTCACGCATTCAATGGGATTTGCAAAATCAAAAAAACAATAACAACAACAACAAGCTAAGCCTTCCTGGTTTTAATTTTGAGTTCAGTAACACAAAGCTACACTACTTGTCGGCTCGTCTTTAAAAAAATCCATATAATCTTAAATATTTGCAAAACTATGGCAGTTTAAAAAAGGCGATCTAAGTTTTACAAAGTTGTATTTTTCGAAAGAGATTTTTTTAACCATGCGTTTAACCTTCTGGCTTTACTCAGGCTCAGCACAGGATACGAACATACGAGCAGATGAAAGAAATTAGCGCATTAAATCTTTTTTTCCATATGAAGACCCATGTCAGGGATAAAGAGGAGTCTCAAGTCTGACTTTTTTTTTAGAAAAATCCGAAGAGTTTTCGCAGTGTGGAACGCGGCTGTCGACAACAATGCACGTTATGCGGACCTACTTTTCTTTTTTAACCGAGGAGCACTGGGTACAGTTGCAGTTTGTTCATTGGTAACCATAGAAACAAATCACCAAAACCCATCCGCCATCTTGATAAACGCAAACGACACAGAAAACAGCAATCACAAGTAAGCTTATTACTCGTCTGTGATCGGACTTGTAGTCCGTAAAAGTATAACACGACGATGGAGGTAAATACACTTGTTTGCGATATTGCTATTTCAGTTATTGAACATCTGTGAGCTTTCGCCAAATTAAGTTTATCATGGAATGTTGATGGCAGTTTGCATTTCTTTCAGACGGACAAAAAATCACAGGAGATCAAAGAGAAACCCGCAATCGAGGAAAATGCATTCGAGGCACTCGAAAGAGATTTCCAAGAGGTATGAGACTGCCGATTTTATTAAAAAACGGGATTATGATGAATGCCTTTATGTTTAAGCTTGATACTGTATTAGCTAGTAGTTGGCATTTGCAGTCGGCCAGTTACAATCTGCATCTCTGCGAAATCTGTGCAAATAAACTTATGGAGCGAAACCGTTCCAAAATGTCATTTGACCATTTTTAAAGCTAATCGTTTCTAACTTTTGTAGGTTCTTGGAGAGCTCATGGGAGATAAAAGCCTCGAAAAGTTTCGTGTGGAGTATGAAAAGTTACACAGAGCTTTGAAGAAGTCTCATGAAAGCGAAAAACGTTTGATGCAAAAATGTAGGGAGCTGAACGCAGAGATTGTAGCAAACGCTTCCAAAGTTCAAACGGCTTTGAAACTTTCGCAGGAAGATCAGACGACGATTGCTTCCCTTAAAAAGGTAATCATTTTCGAAAGTGAACGACCCTTGTAAAGACTGCAGGTATCACATAAATTTGCTAACTAGTTGCAAAATGGTTGAGATCCTTTAGCAACAAAATAATACTTTTCATAATTCAGTTAGCCTGCATCACAGATGTAATCTAACCCCGGGAAGTAACATCTGTGCAGTGCTAATATTACCAGTAATATGTTTCAAATTGCGCATCAGCCTGATTGGCAAATGTACAGTGGCATTTTCAACAGCCCAACCATGGTGTATACTCAAATCCTGGTACACAGTTAGGGATCCAGAACAAGGATTTCAGCACTGCCTCACAGACGGACTTAAAAAGATGTTTAGTTCTGTCTTTGGCGCAGACCAGTGAGTGAGCCTTAGAGGGGAATATCCATCATTTACATGATGTAGTGATCTACAAGTAACAGCCAATCAAATCATTTACCACACATTCCGGGAAAAATCACATGGCCTCCATACACGATTAGCAATGCCGAATCACAGAGGCCCCTTCTCCGATTTTTCTTGAGGGGAGGGGGGTTTGTACACAGGCTAGTGCCAGTGAGGAGATCACATTTTTGGGCAAAACTCATTCCTGCACTATTAATAAATAAATTGTAGAACTTTCTTGGAACATGTTAGTATAGTACCAAAGTATCAAGTTGTAACAGTAAAGGAAAGTCTTAGCCTAGTTAAATGTATTTTACTTTCATGCTAATCAACTTTTGAAAGTGCAGCTGCTTTTAGAAGTGGGTAAATCAAGCTTAATTCACAAAGTGCTTCAAGAATTGCTTGTTACCATTCTTAGTTTGTTTCTGTTGTTTTCTTTCTCTTAGGAAATTGAAAAAGCATGGAAAATGGTTGATGCGGCACATGATAAGGAGCAAAGAGCAAGGGAAACTATTCAGTCTTTGAAACTTGAGATAGCAAACCTCAGTAAACTGGTGGAACAGGGAGCAGGCTTAACTATGGGTCAAGATCACAGGTAATGACAAAAAGATATGAACTAAAAGTGCATAAAAGAGGGTGTGTGTCCAGGTTTGGTTGTGTTTGTCTGTACTTATTTTGCAGTTAAACCCATTCCTTTCTAATGCAGGTTCAGAGCCACCTTAAATCTGTGAAAGGTGAAAGAAATATACTAGTGCTATGGTGCTTTGTTATGTGAGAATACAGCCTTTTTAATAGCCATGTTGGTATTTGGTTCGATGTATGACCTTGGGTGTGTTTGCATTTTTAGTTGTCAACTTTTTTAACTTAACATACCAGAAGACAGGGTTTATTTGACTGTTTTGTTGAAATTTCATGTTATGTTCGCTTTTCAATTTTAGTGTTAATGAGCTGCTCAAAATCAAAGATGAGTTAACAAAGGAAAGAGATGAAAAATTGTCTGAGATCACCAAGGTTTGAATTTTTTGTTTTGTTGAGATTCTGACTTGTTAATTCTTGTATGTCTTATACATGATTGTACATGAATAACTTGATTGTAATTCCTGGCTTATGTAAACTCAATGTTAAATTTTTTTAGATGAGAGAAGAGCTCTCCAGTGCAACTACAAAACAGCAGAAGGCTGAGCAAGACAGGGAAGAAGCTGAGATGAAGATTGCAGAAGTAAGTTACATGTGCTCATAAACTCATAACCCTATCCACAGGTACTTACAAGTATATTTATACATGAAGTATATTGTAAGGTACACTGTAGAATCTAGTGCTGTGCTGATCATCAATTATAATCGATCATTGATTGCAAATCTTTAAGCAACGTGACAATTGATTATGGATGATAACAATCAATTATCCCGGACAAATGAAAAAAAATTATTGATGACAAATAAAAACTTGTAACAGCAGCTTCCACTGAATACCTTTTTCTCCTACGTTTCATACATTTTTAATGTTTTCCAAAACTTGGTGAAACACGCTTGCGCCAGGCTAGGTTTTGCATTTTGTATCTATTTGTTCACATTTGATGGTGAGTATTTTAAACGGAAAAAATTTACCTTGATTGTTCTCTTAGAAATTATCCCATAATTTAGTAGCTGGCCGTAAAATACATTTTTAGATCTACTACTGTGGTCAGAAAGGTTACAAGAGTAGATGAAAGGAAAACAGATATAAACAGTTTTCGAAGATCGAATTGAAACTTAAGTTGGTTCCCAGGGTCTTCTTCTTCTTGTCTCAATTTAAGTTGTCCACAACAAACAAGGTGGCTTAGTTTTTTATCAGTAGATTTTCTGATTATAATCGATGATCGATGGGTTGGGTCAATCTGATTATTTCCGATGACTCGATGATAAAATCTTAGCCGATTCCCTTCACTAGTAAATACAGCCAACTGAATCACCGCCGTATAAAGGCTTTACAGACTCAGCTACATGGAATGTACTCATTTGCAAGACAAAGTGGCACTGATCTGTTTTGGTTGAAGTGAGATTGCCAATCTACAGTTGGCTACACACATTAAAATTTACTTGAACAATAATTTCATCCCCAAGGCCAATCTAAGACCACGCTTTAGGGAAAGGTGTGATACTTTGGCTGATGGTTTGTTTTCCCAGCTCAGAAATTTATTGAAATGGTTAGTATTTGTTATCATGTTAGCATGCAAAACATGTCAAGTTTTCCATATAACTTATGAATAATGTTGTTACCTTAATGGCAGTTGTATGTGTTGCAGTTATTTTTTTATTTCAGTCAATTCTTGATTTCCTTTGTTTTGGGGTATGGTAATGTATGCCAATGAATTTGGAACAAAGGAAAAATAAAAATTAACTGCAACATATGCATTGAAGAATTATGGAATTAACCTTTAATAGTTGTTTTGATCTTCTCTTTTGATTTTGAACTCCAGCTTAAAGAAGACATTCAAGTCCGCAGTAATGAAGCACAGCGAGAAGCCAGGAAAAAGGAGAAAATCGAAAAAGAGTTAAAGCAAGCCAAGAATGACTTGGAAACCAGAACTGCCGAGTTGAAAACAAAATCAGGCAATCTTCAACGAGCACAGGAAGACATAACTAAGCTAGAACAACAACTTAAAGAACAAAGGGTAAGTTCATAACAAGATAAATTGCATATTCGAGTTCGGCACCTCTTCGAGGCTGGGCGCTTATTAAATTTTCACCATTCTCAGCAAGTGTAGTAGTATATTTTGCAACAAAACAGTAAATGCTAATTGCAAAAAGCGAAGATGCAACAAAGCAAGGTTTCTGTAAAATATTCTGAACAAAACTCGGTCTTCGGGAGGGTCTCTTATCATCTCTTATTGGAGTTTTTATTGGAGGGAGTTGGGTGGGGTTGGTGTTCATTCGAGGCTGGGCGCTTATTAACTTTTTCTGCCTTTAGAATGGGCGCTTACTCGAGGTGGGCGCTAATTCGAGGTTGGGTACTTAATCGAATAGATACGGTAATGCATGAATTCATACCTGCCTTTTTAATACTGAAGTTTTACATTTACACATGTCCTTTTCCTTCTGTAGATACTAAATGAAAAAGCCATGAAAGATACAGATCTGCTGAACGCTCGACTCACCAAAGTCCAACAGGATTTTGATCAGCAACTGTTGAACTGTGATCAGCTTGCAACGGAAAATACACAAAAAGCTGCCGAGCTGAAAGCCAAAGAAGATGAAATCAACGGTCTTAAACAGGACACAGTGCGACTAACGAAAATGAGAGAAGCTATCCAAAGAAAGCTTCGAACCATTGAAGATCAAAAAATTGAAGTTGAGCAGCAGAAGGAAACACTCAAGGGGCAGATTGCAGGGTTAGAAAAAGGTATTAAAACTGGAGAATGTTTCTGGGAGTTTTGAGAAATAGAAGGAGTACATACCAAATAGACCCATCCACTTATTGATGACTTGAAAATAAGCGTGGTAGATTTTTGCAGCCTGTTTGCATATATGATCGCTGTGATACTGAAAAAAGTTCTGATCCAAGCAATCGTAGAGATTGTAGCAGCCATGTAGAATTAATTAAGTCTTCCTTAATGGCCATTTTAAGGTTGTGAATAAGACTGAATCGGTGTTGTGTCAGATTGCAGGCATTTTCAGTCAGAGATCGTTGTTTAAAACTGTGAACAAAGATAAGGTGCCGGATGAGGCGAAGTTGCGGGATACAAGCTGTATGGTTCTCGGTTAATCTTCCCTCGTTTTGATTTTATATGACGTCAAAATTAATGCAAATGTATTTGTCGCAAGGAAAAAAAGGTGTCATTAAAAAACATTTCAATGTGGTAGCGCGTGATTAATTCAAGCTAAAATAGGCGATATTTCCGCACAATTCATCTGTTCTCTAACGTTATCCTATCACAGGACAAGTAGTGAATTTGAATATATTATTTTCTTCCCTTTACTTCAACATCTACACAACATTTTTTCCAGAACTTGAATCGAGCAAAAAACAGGCTGAAGCCGATAAGAAGGCCATAGACGATCTTGTTCGTGAGCGGGACATCCTTAACAAGGTACGTCAATATGTCCATACCTTGTATCTTTCCTAAAACTTTGGTTTCTCTTCTAGTATTTATAAATTCTAACACTTATTTGCTATTTGACTTTTCCAATGTAGAACCTTCTCAAAGCAGCGGGCGCTACGCAGAAGCAGCTCGGCCTTGTCCGGTTACACGAGCAAACCAAGAAAAACTTAGAGCAAGAAATTCAGGTGAGAATACAGTCGTAACGAATATGCTTTTTCTTTACTGACAGCAGCGTAGTTTTCTCGGGAACTTTGGCCAAGAATAACGTCCGTATTGTAGCTCTTACAGAACCTTTGTGAGTGTGAGCCGTAAACAAGATACCGTGAAACCTCTATTAAGCCCCCCTCCCAAAAAATCCCCCTTTTTCAGGGAAAGAAAGTTATTAAACCCCCTCTCTTAAAAGCTCCCTCGTCTTTCCTTTTTCCCGGGGGCTTAATTTAGGATTTACGGTCGGTGATTTGCAGTATTTCTCCTTGACAACTCTTGATTGTTTGAAAGTATAAAGCTGTCGCTTACCCCGTGGACCTGGCGTAGCCGTTGTCACCTCACACAACATCTTGCTGGCTTCTATCCATAACTTGAAGTCTTTTGAATGATTTTAGCTGTTATCATTACCGCCCTTTTCGTGCCTAAACATTTTAATCACTTCGTAATTCCAGAACTACAAAGATGAAGCACAGAAGCAACGCAAAATTATCTACCAACTGGAAAAGGAGAGAGACCGTTACATCAACGAAGCCAGCGAACTCACACAGAAGGTTCTGCAGCACATGGAGGATGTTAAAGTCCGTGAAATGCAAATCTTCGATTACAAGAAGAAAATCGCTGAGGCTGAAACGAAGCTGAAGCAGCAACAGGTGCGTTTCAATTTATGCTACTTGTATTGCTATGGTAACCCTGTTCAGGAGGCTTCTATAGGAGAAAAGAACCCCTTACTGAGAAGGATTAACACTTCGTTTGTTAGTTTTATAACGAGGAAGTTTGCAAACCTCACCCTAAGACCTACGGCAATTGCCGCTGAAGTAAATGTGTGCGTTCATAAAGGACGTTCTGTAATAGGGATCCATAGCCAGTGAGATCCGCATACAGTGTTTGCAACGACTACATTGTAACGCTGAGCTCTGTTGATATGTCTGGTAATGGTAGTCAGCTTATCCCAAGGAGATATTGGAATCGTGGAAACTGGATTTGAAATTTCATGGATAAACATTCTCATGACGTTACCCCTCACCCCCTGTACACCTGCTAAACAACGTAATGATATCCCTGGCATGCATTAAAGGAAGGGATAGTTTGGACAGCTTATTTCTAACGCCCCGCAGTAATGCATCGGTTTGTTTGGTTGGGAAAATGGAGTATTACAGTTTCTTTGCTGATGTTGTTCTTGATTTTCTTTTTTCGTGATAACTGTATGTAAAAGCAGACGGTGATGATGTTTATGATGTGTATTTAATCGGCAGAATCTGTACGAAGCCGTGCGCAGTGATCGCAACCTGTACAGCAAGAACCTTATCGAGTCCCAGGACGAGATCACCGAGATGAAACGCAAACTGAAGATTATGAACCACCAGATCGATCAACTGAAGGAGGAAATCATGGCTAAAGAAGCGGCGCTTGTAAAGGAACATCTGGAACATCAAAGAGTTGAGAAGGAAAAGGATGCTTTGAAAGCTGAATTGCAGCGGATGAAGCAACAGGCTGCGGAATCCAAGGCTTACATTGAACAACAAGAGGTTGAGGAACGGAAGCTGTTGAAGATCATATCAGAAGCTGATGCTGAGAGACTCAGACAGAAGAAAGAGCTCGATCAGGTTGGTTCTTACTCCCTGCTAGCATAGGCTCCGCCCCTCGCACTTTTTCTCCTTTCACGTGCGGCTCTCGCGTGACTTCTCGTGACTTCCGCAAATGGAGAACTTGCTCGCAGACTATTTCTTGTATGGCCCCAATTGCACGTTTTATGTAGTGACTCCTGCACATTTTTTTAGGTGATTAGTGAAAGGGATATATTGGGAACACAGCTTGTAAGAAGAAACGACGAGTTAGCCTTGTTATACGAAAAGATAAAGATTCAACAGTCTACTCTCAACAAAGGTACGTTTTTCTTAATCCCCTTTTAAATATCGCCTCTGACCATTGACACAAACTAAAATATCAACATTGTTGTCTCGATCAATGCATAGGTAAAGGCGCACCCGAGCCAAAGGCCCACGCAGCCGGAGCTTATACCGGTTTCCGTAGCATGAAGCAAGCCTAGGAGTATTGCTTCTCCCCCCTGGACGGGATGCTAGTCTATCGTAGGGTTAACCCCCAGCAGTATGTCGCTGGTACCCATTTATACACCTGGGTGAAGAGAGACAAAGTGGAGTAAAGTTCCTTGTCTAAGGAAACAACGTGACGGGTGAGGCTTGAACCCCGGACCTCCAGATCTGGAATTCGAGGTGTTAACCGCTCGGCCACACACGCCTCCACCCCGTCAATGCATAACACCTGTTTTTTGATGAAGACAGCAATGTGCCGTTATATTAAAGTTTTCCACCGTGAAAGCCTCCAAGTGAAAATAAAGTCTTCGTAAAGCTTATGTGCTGAAAAGAGAACCGTCAGCGCATCCTCTTACTGATGCAACTAGCAATTCGCAACCAAGTGTTTTTCCTCGTAGATACTATTTTAATATCCCCAGCGCCTCTTTGTAGATGCTTGAACGGTATCACAAGTTGTTCTTTGCTTATTGGGTTTTGTTTTTGTAGGTGAGATTCAGTACCGACAGAGGTTGGAAGATATTCGACTGCTTAAACTTGAAATCAAGAAACTTCGCCGTGAGAAGAACATTCTCACAAAGAGTGTGGCGAATGTGGAGGACTTGAGGTAAACAATGTCAGTGATGTTGTTGACGATCTTGCAATCCCAGACGAAAGTAGTTGGGAAGGTAGTACAAATTAATAGTAGTCTATTTTAGTCCTCAGAAAGATAGTTTTCTCTTTTGCTAATATCCCCCGTCCTCTGTATTCAGTGTTGGGATATAACAGAACAATTAGGCGCAAAAACATAAGTTTTGCTCAACATTGGGTCAGGGACGGGGAGAGGAAGGAAGAAAGAGGTTAAAAAAGCAACCTTCCCTATACTTTTGACGATGATTGTCTGAGTACAGAAAATCAACTTTAAATGCTTATAAAACGTGTCGTATTTAACATTTGACTGAGATATCTCGCCCTGGAACTGTGCTGTTGATGTACGTTCTTTGCTAAATACAAAATGTAATAAAGGTTACATTTCGGTAAAATCGCAACTATGAAAATTTTGTATCTGACGTGCATGGCATTCATCGCGTGACCACAAAATCCAGTCGGTTCCAGTTGGAATAAACATTGTCCTTGTAGCCAACAGCGTTACAAACACCAACGTCACAAACACCAGAAACCAACTATGAAAAACTGTAAGGCAAACAAATTTTCAAAAGCTACAATTGCGCTGAATCCGTTTCAATCTACTTTAAGTTTGACCATCCGTGCCGCCTCCTTTGGTATTGCTGTGTTCTTTATAACCTTTTTTCACGATGCTCTGAGCAGTTATTTGTATGGTTTCTGAATTTAACGAAATTTTGTGACAAAGCTCTTTTAAACGAGTACTTTGCACTCAGGGCATAAACGCCGGACGTTTGGGTCAATGCAGCTGTTGACCGACGGCTATGCCATTCTGATAAGTTATGATCTTACAAGGACGAAACAGCTATCCATGGCTACCACTGTTTGATTGGGTTTAACTGATTAGTTTCTAAAAAGGTGTCTTCTTTTACTGTTCGTAAAGGCGGGAAGTTTATCACACACAACGTGAGCTACTCAGAGAGCGAACTAGATGCAAGGCTCTGGAAGAAGAACTTGAAAACCCAATGAACATTCACAGATGGAGGAAACTCGAGGTACGGTAATACCCTTTTGCTGCACTATTGAATTCCTTGAGAAAACCTGTGCTAACTTCTTCTATTTCTACGTGTAGGGAAGCGACCCCAGCACATACGAAATGATCCAGAAGATTCAGACCTTACAAAGACGATTAATACAAAAGACTGAAGAGGTTAGTTTACATCGCTTGGTCTTGCGCGCGCGACTTGTCTCATAACACGCGCGCGTGCTTAAATTTTCTGACGTCATAATAGGAAGAAGTTCGCATCTTACGCACAAGAGCCAGAAAATGACGTCTTAAATTCTCGCTAGGGAGTGATACCTTTCTTGTGTTTTCTACTCTGGCAGTGATTTTGATGCTTCTCTTTAAAATCCGCTGAGCGTGAAATGTTTGTAAAAGAATTAGAGTTCTCTCAGGGGGTGACCATTCAACTTTGGAGGGCAGCGGTGGGATATTTCAGAACAAACACATTAGAATTACATTACATTAGTAGTCGTGGAGATAAAGCCTTGCCCAAAGTGAATCACCCATTCCCCCTCTAAAAAAAATGAGTGATCAGCCCCGCCCTAACGAGTCACATTCAGTTGGGTATGATGTGTCTCTAAGTACTGAAGTTCGTCTGAAAGTGAGAAATCGTTTGCATTAGTTTATCTTGTACTATTTAGTCATTTACCGAATTGTTTGGACTTGTATATCATTTACTTTGTTAGGTCGTGGAAAAAGAGCTGCTTATCCAAGAAAAAGAAAAACTTTACATGGAACTTAAACAGATACTCGCTCGACAGCCAGGTCCGGAGGTCGCTGAACAACTCAGTATTTATCAACAAACACTCAAAGAAAAAACCAAACAAATGAAGGGAATGTCATCGGAACTGAACATGTACGAAGCACAAGTTAAAGAATACAAGTACGAGATTGAGAGATTAGCAAAAGAACTACAAGAGGTCAAGAAAAAGTTTTATATGCAGAAAAGAAAAGAGCAGCAAGCAAGGTACACTAACCACGTCTTACGTATTTTGTCAACGTACTAGCACTATACCAGTTATCGTATTCGACTTAGATTTGCTTCTTTAAGTTTGAGTGTGACCTCGAATAAAGTTAGTTCACTAAGATACATGGGACATTCTTGTCTATAATGTTTAAAGTCCCTCGTTTTGTTGAGACGACCGTCGAGATTCAGAGAGTGTCAGATCTACCCAGGGAGCGGAACCTGTGGCGGGGAGGGGGAGCTATAAAATCCGATGCCCCCACGCCCCGTTTGAAACCAAGTGGCCACCTATAACAGCAAGCGCTCTATCTCGACGATCTTACAGAAAAATAGGGGACTGTAGACAGTCTATCTTGTGTCATGCACTCGTATTTCTCATAAACGTTCCCCTTTTATTTCAGGGAGCGAGATCGCGCTTACCAACAGGCTGCCGGACCCGCATTCTCTCCTCAAAGATCAGACGGACCAAGATTTACTGGTGGAGGTTTCAATCTAAAGCCACCTCAAAAAGCTGCCGCTTAATAGTCGAACAATCTATTTGTAAATAGTCTGAATAAAACTTTTGTACATAGAGTTTTTTATCGTACCTCAAAGGAAATGTCTATATAGAGAATGAACTCATGGAAGGAGTATGCTCGACGCGTTTTAATGTTTGGAGACTATTGTCATGAAAGTTGGCAAAGGTTCAAACAAGAGAGCAACACTGAGGTTTTTATAAGTAGAAAATCGTTTGACTATCATTCTCGCATGTTGGGTTGATTTATTTTGATTTTAAAATGATTTGATTATACATAAACTATTTATACATGCCGAGAATGTCTTTCTAATGTCTCCTTATTGGACACTAAAAGGAAGCTTGAAGAAGGGTAGTTTCCCCGAGGCCTCTTTCAAATTAACTGAAAGACCACACCTTTCATTCTAACAAAGTCATTCACGAAATTGCAAGGACAAAAAAATGGTTCCCGGTTTGACAAAAGACGTCTTGAATTCTTAAAACGTCTGGAAAATAGAGATAATGTCCGGAAAAATGGTACACCAAGTGCTTTATAAGTAATATTTTCCCGTGGTCAAATATTCAATCCCACCCATACCAAAGACATTTAATCACGGATTGAGAAGTTTGTTCGCAATGTACCGTGGTTACTGTACATTCCAGTGGCGTATCCAGACTTTCAGATAAGGGGGGCCCTAGTCATCGAGACCCAGAGATAACGGGTGGGCGGTCCCCGAAAAAATTTCTTTCGGCCCTTCGGGCCTCAGTTTGGTCTAAAATCAAAGGGGTGGCCCGGGCCACCCCAGCCCTTCCCTTGATCCGCCACCGCATTCTCAGGGCATCATGAAAGGAGCTTGGTTACTGTGATTTTCATATGGTCTCTTCCCTTTATTTGATAATCTTCAGTGTGGATCCAAAAATCTGTAGGAATCCTTTATTTTGTATTCTGTTAAAGAGTACAACTTAAACTTCAAGCATGGTTCAAAGTACTAACCGTTTTAGTGCTTGGGATTAAGGGACTGGTCAAAAAGTATAGGCGGGGGTGGGTCGGAGCAGAGAGGGGGTGGGTCATGAGGTTTTGAGCCTTGTGCAAGGGGTGGGTCGTGCAATTTGCGGCTACCCTTAGGGGGTGGGTCACCCTATTTTATTACATAGATAAGCACTAACTACTAACAAGACAGTTGACCACACTTGTTATATAAAACACAGCCAGTTGGAATTAATCCACATATGTGAATGTTAACTTTTAACGTTGTCCTGGGGTACCAGGGCCTACTATTCTGAGACTTCTTGTGATTTTTTTTAAAGTTTTTTTTTTTTTTCAATCCGACCGACCGACCCAATATCAGGAAACCAGGAGCCTGCAGGAAACGCATTCGACGGTAAACGAAGAGAAAAAAGGGGATGGCCTTAGAGGAAACCAAACATCCATGTTTTAACTAGGGGGTGGGTCATGCAATTTCCAACCTTGCTTTAGGGGTGGGTCAGTCATTTTTGTGCCGATAGGAGGGGGTGGGTCATGTGTTTTTTATCAACCACATTTCCAAATGCTCCGGCCCACCCCCTATACTTTTTGACCAGTCCCTAACCAGCGGGTCACTAAGTTAAAAAAACACACACACGCATAGCTGATTCAATGATCTCCAAACCAACTTTTTTCGAAGTAGTAATATAGCTGATCCAGGTTACTTTGGGTATTAGGCAATTGTGTTCTGAGAAGCTCTTGTTTGGTGGTCACTCAAGGACCTCAAGCTATGAATTGAAATGAGTTCCGTATGCCCAAATGCCAATGACCAGTTGCCAAAGCAACCTTAATTGAATTAGGTCTATATACACTTTGAACTGTCTGTAAATCAATGTGAGTTCTTTGAAAAGCTTATTCAACCACACTTCAAGTGCTACCCTACACGTCTGCTTCACACATACGGTATACTTTTTGAAGACTTTTCTTTTTGGTGTTAAAGTTGACACTCCAGACATCTTTAGGGGTTACCTTACAGGGCGACAACTCGAACCAGGGCACTTTAAAGATTATCCAATGACAACGTTTTTGAAAACAAAAGATTCTCAAGTTTCGTGGCAAACGGACAAATAACATTCATAAATGTGAGGGCTTTTTCCTGAGAGGCCGGGTAAGTTCAAACGGTTTTAAAGTTTTTAACAGCTACATAGTTCTCCTTGAATTTTATCGGTCCGGTTTGCACGAATATTAGAGAATCTTTTGTTTTCAAAAAATGCTGTGATTGGATAATCTTCCAAGTACCCTCGGTTCGAATACTCGCACTGCAATTTCCTCGCGCAATCGTTCTCGGGTCTTAAGCTCCCTATTAGTAAATTCTGAATGAAATATTCTAGTGCCCTAAAAGGAGGTTGGTTTTGAGCACAACGAATAAGAGAGAAAAAGAGAAGAAAACAAAGGGTAAAAAGTCTTTATTAAAATCTTTGAAACAACTAGCATCTCATACCTACATACCTAACAAACTATAGCATTGAAAATTCAATACAATTTAGGCAAAAATGTCTACGAGACAAGCACTGCAAAGACGATATATATGCACGATATGACACCACACAACCTGACCAAAAATGCATTATCTGATGCATCTCATTCAGTATTTGAGATAGTGCACAAATCTTTAATTTGCCTGGTGAAAATGTAAATTCGTTATATTTTACAAATTATCAAGAACCACAGCAAATTTGCATTTTAAAATTCTGACACAGAGACAAACGCCAGCGCACTAGCCCTGATACTGCCATGTTTGTTAGTTTCATGTATTTCTTGTCCTTTTTTTTTTTTTGGAAATACATGCAATTCATTAAGTCCTATCGTGCTTCTCCTACTTGTCATGCTTCTAAACTAAAATATCCTACAGGCTTCTTTCGTTGACAGCAGGGTTGTGTGGACCATTTTGTAGACACAGCAGATCCCCTTCCTCCACCACCCCCCCATACAACCCAATGTTCAGTGATTGTGCGGACTTCCAAAATCAGGCTGCGAACTTTCAGACATCTCCTTGTCGGAAATATTCCATTGCATTCAATAAAACTGAAAAACGGGACTGTAGAATAGCATTTTGAGAGTGTTCTCTAGTTGATGAGTAGATCTAGCTCTAGTTAAATTGTCGTTGTCCCAGCTAAACAATTCCAGCGTGCTGAATTGATTGTGAAGTGGTGTAGCACCTCACGGAGAATCTATACAACAATGACCTTGTAGAAATGTCTCCAAATAAGCATATACACTTCTGGATATATCCAAACTTCGAACAGCGGCTGACTCAGTTCTTTCGCGAATTATCTGCGTGGAAAGAAATTCCTTTTCCTCGGTCGATTATCCGTAAGGAAAATCCACAGTGTAGTCTGGCAACGGTGCTTATTGCATATTGCAAACAAAAATAATTCAAAGAACGTCAAGCGATAATGAGATTGGACATGTCCAAATCTTTAGGTCGATATTTACTAAATATCATTTGAACATAGCACTGTACGCTTCGTGGTTCAGGCTTTTTGAGTCTAACCATATCTTCTACATCAAGAAGAGCAGGAATCCCAACAGAGCTGTGAAGAAAGAGAAAAAAGACTAATCATCGGGTTGCACAGTACAGCCAGTTCCTACTGACCACATCATCCACTTCTCTGTGCGCGCTGATTTTGATTGGCTACCGTGAAGTGTTCAAATATTTCAGTCGTACGTGCATCGCCCAAGATTTTTTTTTAAATTTTTGGTAAGCGGTTTATTATGAAATTGTAATATTCAGTGCCTAGTTATTCAATTGCGCGGTAAAATCATTAATTGTTTCGTCGTCTAACATCAATCGCTTACGATTCGTTAGATTACTTTATTTGAACCCAACTATTCAGTTTCCGCAAAGTTTGTAGTAAAGAACTAAGGGCCTGTTTACATGGAGGTGGGGGACCCCAGGTAGGTGAGGTAACCCGCTTAGGTGGGGTAACCCGCCTGTCCATATAATCTCTCATTTTCATTTGATCACGTTTACATGATAGGTGGGGTGACCCGCCAAGGCGGGTAGCCCGGTCTACCAGACCGGGTTACCCTCTCAGCCGGGGTCACAATTTGTCATGTAAACGTTTCAAGGTGGGGTAACCCGCCTGGCCGGGGTCGGATTCGTGATACATCAAATTCGCGCAAAATTCACTTTCGCGGTGTCTTTGCATTATGATTAAAGTTAACAATAGAAAGCTATTGCACTGACGGGTTGCAGCAAGAGCAACAAGTGAGTGAAAAAGTGCATTAATCGCCAAAACTCGTGGTTTGCCAGCATTTTTCTTGTTTACGTGCTTAGCGACCATTCAATAATCTTGAGAAAGTGCACCCCGGGAAGGCGGGGTTGTAAGATTGCATGTAAAGGCGGGTTATTTTTTTGCCTCACCTAAGCGGGTTACCTCACCTACCTGGGGTCCCCCACCTCCATGTAAACAGGCCCTAAGAAATTAATGAAATGACAATCTTCTCGATCTGCATAATTCTCCACATTATAATCAGCTGAACATTAAATAATTGTTAAATTTCACTACACGAAAGCAGAATCCAATAATTGCTAATTAATTTCTATTCCGCAATACAGTTGAGCAAGAGGAACAATACTGTGGTCTGAACAGAGCTATTTAAAAATACTTACATCCCGGTCTCAAACGCCAATTTAAAGTTGTGTTCTCTGTTTTCCGCGGAAAGTAAGTTGTAATCAAACTTGTCCGGGTTAAATTTATGTATTAGAGCACAGAAAGCTAATCCAGAGCTGAAACTACCACTGAAATTCGTAATGTTTACCCCCTGTAATAAAAGAAAATAAAGAAAATGGCAATAACTTTTACAAGTATTATTTATGCATCCCCCTCTCCTTCTCAACCCCCTCTCAAAAATCAGTTAATTGGTACATCCTTAACGAAGTCACGCCAAGAGGGATTTTAAAGTCACACTTCACCATTTTCTCTCTTTTTCTAAATTCCAGTGCCTCCGTCAAACTCAAATTTTCCGACCTTAAAGTCGGTCTAACATGTAAAGGCGTTTAGGGGATGCCCAAAACTGCCAAAGGCCGCTTCATGTATAAGCACAATAGTGAATTCAAAATGACAATGTCGACTAGAGGCAAAAACTAGTGAGACAAGAGAGAATGATTCTCTCGAGTGAGAATAATAATAATAATAATAATAATAATAATAATAATAATAATAACGTCTTTATTAAAAAGCATCCGATAAAATTACATATCTGATGTTACAGTAAAAATATATATTGATAGAAAAAATTACAATGACAAGATGAATAAAAAAGATCAAATTGATTAAAAATACATATGGGGTATTTACACAGCTAGATTATATTTAAAAATTAATCTATTAAAAAAGCTATCTTTGAAACGTTCAGTGTTAATGCTGGCCCTTTTCAAAGAATTATATAAAACACTGGCACACTTGCAAACAAATATGTAAACGACATATTTCAAGCACCCCTATTCAAAGTGTGGTGTTGTTGTTGTTTTTTTCTTCTTTTTAAGTTTTCCCGTAGTCTCACCTCGGGGATTGGCTCCAGTAGTGTACATCAGAGACTTAATGAATAATCTATTACTTGATAATTGCTAAATGAATAATTTACCTCGTACTCTTGAGTGACGTCTTTACACCACGTCAGGATCAGCGATGACACAGACATTTGTCTTTTTAACTGAGGTTTCTTTTTCAGATCTCTTGGACTGTAAATAAAAGAAATGACGTCGTGAAAAATATCAATTAAGTAGTACGCTTTTGAAGACCATGAATGAATTTCCCACCAGTGAGAAGGCGCATTGCTTGGGGGAGCGATGGGGGCAACCTCGTTTCCAGGGTCCTCTCTCTTTCACCATGGGAACGAGGTTGGGATGTGGGCAGTTTTGCCGGGATAACGTGAACCTGCACGTGAGTGTCTCGGATACTTGACAATCGTTCCTTCTTCTTACGTAAACGAAAGCAGAACAATAAAGAACTGTAAATGCAAGCTATGAAAATAACGAAAAAACAACGAAAAAAAATCGATTCTAACGTACGTCTTGTTTGGATCCGGTGCCTTCTTCAGCGATACTTTCTCTGTAGGGCTTGTAGGAGTCGTTGCACTTGTCGAGCTATTTACAGCTGTCGAACCGGTTTGACTGGGTGGCGTCGTTGCTTTAAACCTGTTCACAGGAGTAGGTGCACTTGGCGCTCTGTGTACAAACTGTTTCGCCTTTGCCTTTTGCTCTTCTTCGGCTGCCTTTCTAAAGAAAGCCATGCGGTCTTTCACGGAACCCATCCCACCAGCGCCTTGACCAAATTTAGGGCCCTGGGAATTAAAAGGAGAAGTGCTCGACTCAAATGTGTTAGTTTTAAAAGTAAGTATTGTTACAGCTCCCTTACTAAACAACTAATAGTCCCTCTTTTTTCTCAGGGATAGTAGAGCCAGCAAAAACTCGTAACGACAGCCCGTGAAAAAATCAACACTCGCGCGAAGCCCTAAGGAAAGTGAGAGACTAATAGTATTCTTTAATAAAATGATGAAATCTTGTAAGGTGCTTTTAATTTTAAGAATGACTTCTGAGTTTCAAATGAATAGTGTGGTTATTGTATAGTACATCTGTACTGTATGTTTTCCAGCATTTCACAAAATTAGATTTGGAATTCTGTTGAATTCCTACTTTGTCCACTTTTGGTCAAAAGAACCGGGCCAAAAGCGGCAGTATCATGAGACATATATCTTAAAGTGCATGCAGTATAATCAGAACAACCTGTTGTCTTCTTTTGTTCAGAAGTGATGCAGATGTCAGATGTAAGTGGCAAGCGGCTTCACCCCCCCCCCCCCCGCCAATCACAAATGTCCAGTGCTGGCCACAAGATCCCTACTTTCCTTTTTCATCCTTAGTTCCACACTTCTCAGAGGTGTGGAAGTGTAGAAAAGTCTGTCAAAGTCAGGATAATGTCACACTTTTCTCCCTGTTAAGAACCCCTTGTCATTCTTTACTTAGTTCTACACTTCTCAGAGGTGTGGAAGTGTGGAAAAGTCTGACAAAGTCGGGATAATGTCACACTTTTCCCCCTGTTAAGAACCCCTTGTCATTCTTTACTTAGTTCTACACTTCTCAGAGGTGTGGAAGTGTGGAAAAAGTCTGACAAAGTCGGGATAATGTCACACTTTTCCCCTGTTAAGAACCCCTTGTCATTCTTTACTTAGTTCTACACTTCTCAGAGGTGTGGAAGTGGGGAATAGTCTGACAAAGTCAGGATAATGTCACACTTTTCCCCCTGTTAAGAACCCCTTGTCATTCTTTACTTAGTTCTACACTTCTCAGAGGTGTGGAAGTGTGGAAAAGTCTGACAAAGTCGGGATAATGTCACACTTTTCCCCCTGTTAAGAACCCCTTGTCATTCTTTACTTAGTTCTACACTTCTCAGAGGTGTGGAAGTGTGGAATAGTCTGACAAAGTCAGGATAATGTCACACTTTTCCCCCTGTTAAGAACCCCTTGTCATTCTTTACTTAGTTCTACACTTCTCAGAGGTGTGGAAGTGTGGAAAAGTCTGACAAAGTCGGGATAATGTCACACTTTTCCCCCTGTTAAGAACCCCTTGTCATTCTTTACTTAGTTCTACACTTCTCAGAGGTGAGGAAGTGGGGAATAGTCTGACAAAGTCAGGATAATGTCACACTTTTCCCCCTGTTAAGAACCCCTTGTCATTCTTTACTTAGTTCTACACTTCTCAGAGGTGTGGAAGTGGGGAATAGTCTGACGATGTGGTGTGCAATGTTGTTAATTTTATTTAGTACTATAACGATCTCAGTTTCATTTAATAGGTCGTCGGCCAGAACACTGAAACTTATTTTAATCTTATCACTGACTGAGCTATTTAATCACGGTAATTAATCCTTTGGCGGCATATAAGTGCATTCAAGCATGAAGCGATATACAGACGTTTTGATGTTGTCATATGACCTCTTTGTGTTTCACCTACAGATTGACACAGAAGTTTGCGAGCAGACCTTCTCTTGGCTGTCAAAATATGCAAAAATGACAAGGAAAATGAACAGAGGACACTTCGTCTTTTTCATAATTTATGTCCAGCATTTACATAACCTTAGAGAAGAGGAAAAACTGAGAAACAGTGGATATATGGCGTGATCTAACAATGATCAAATTTGAACCCTTACTGATAAGGAAGAAAGCATGGTTGGTGATCGGATTTCTTAACTTTAAGTTTCTTTCAACAGCTGGCATTGAAACAATGGTTATATCTGCTATTCAAAATAAAAATAGTTCTTAAGGAAGAATGTGAAAAACCATACAGAAATAAAACCAAGTGCTCATAAAGCTTACTGAGCTTCTCGTGACTCAGGGAAAGTGCGACATTAAACTTAACTTGTCAGACTAATCTACCCTTCCACACCTCCGAGAAGTGTGGAACTAAGTAAAGAATGACAAGGGGTTCTCAACAGGGGGAAAAGTGAGACAATATCCTTACTTTGTCACACTATTCCCCACTTCCCACACCTTTGCGAAGTGTGGAAACTAAGTAAAGAATGACAAAGGGTTCATGACTGGGGGAAAGTGAGACAATATCCTTACTTTGTTGGACTATTCCACACTTCCACACCTCTGAGAAGTGTAGAACTAAGTAAAGAATGACAAAGGGTTCATGACTGGGGGAAAGTGCGACAATATCCTTACTTTGTCGGACTTTTCCACACTTCCACACCTCTGAGAAGTGTAGAACTAAGTAAAGAATGACAAAGGGTTCATGACTGGGGGAAAGTGCGACAATATCCTTACTTTGTCGGACTTATCCATACTTCCACACCTCTGAGAAGTGTAGAACTAAGTAAAGAATGACAAAGGGTTCATGACTGGGGGAAAGTGCGACAATATCCTTACTTTGTCGGACTTTTCCACACTTCCAGACGTCCGGGAAGTGTAGAACTAAGTAAAGAATGACAAAGGGTTCATGACTGGGGGAAAGTGCGACAATATCCTTACTCTGTCGGACTATTCGACACTTCCACACCTCTGAGAAGTGTAGAACTAAGTAAGAAGTGAAGAAACTCTGGATTTCATGGCCAGCGCTGGACATGGCTCCCGCCAATAGGCCACCAAAATACTCCTCTGAGGACGTTTGCTCAATTTTTAGAGCCCATTCTAAGGTAAAACACATTATTAAGTAAACAACCTTAACGCGAACTGCAAGCCAGGTTGTAAGGGGAATAACGGTTAATAGAATACAAGTCTCTCGGCAAAAGCATACAACTTACATCATTTTTGGGCGGTAGAAATGAGTTGGGCCTCCGCGGGGGGCCCGGATCAGACCACTGCCTCGCTGCGGGGCCTGGTTTGGGGGGTTCAGTCCGAGGAGGCGGCTGCCATATTCTGGTTTTGGGAGGTTCCTCTCTCGTAGGAGGAACATTCATTGTCTTTTGAGGTTCGTTGCTTTCTTTAGTAAGACCAAATTTTGAGGGAGCGTTCGGCGACCGAGGGCTTTCCTGAATCGGCGAGAGCTCAGTTTCGCCGCAGGCGCTCACGGTGTCGCCTTCAATCTTGATCTTTTCGTGGCTTTCCTTTCGTGAAGTGCGCCGTATCTTTCGTTGCTCCTTAGCTTGTTCATCTCCTTTTGAAGTATTCACCAGTTTGACTGTGTCTCCACTCTTGACGTACATTAGGCCGTCCAATTCCTCCTTTCTCTCGATCTCGCGGACCGATCGTCTTCGACCTCTCAGCCTCCCAAGATTCTGAAGTAGATCCTGCTTCGTCTTCATATCTTGATGCGTCTCTAAAGGTTTCCGGTGTTGAACGGTTGGCGAAGATGAAACAGTCAGCTGATGTACGGGAGGGGCTGTTGAAGGCCTTTCCTTTTCTTTTCCCGCCTGATCAATCTTAAAAAGTTCGGCTAAAGATGATCTCCGGGACATTCGCTTAGGAACTTCCTCTTGTTTCTCTTTCTCCATCTTGTTGTTATTCATGTCTTGATCCTTTCTCGGCTTCTTCTCCTCGATGTTTGATTCCACATGGTTGGTTTGATGCCGACGGGGGTAGATCTCTGTCGCACGGGTCTCAGGTGCCTTCTCTTCAGTGCTCGCCATCTTAAAGCTATACGTACTCCGTGTGTTTTTCGGTTTTTGCGGAGCGACGTTCTCTTTTCTAGCTGGACTTTCCTCTCTGTTGATGCGGTTGGTTCTTTCCTGGTATCTGTTTCTCTCAGAACTGCCCAAAGACATTGTAAACTTGGACGACATTGAGGGGGCTTTAGTTTCGTTGCCATTTTCATCTGTCAGCTTTTCCTTCTTCTCCTTAAGACCGCGCAATTCTGCACGGAGTTTTCTTCGATCGGAGATATTTTTAGTAGTCTCTAACTGAAAAAAGGAAAAGAGAAGATTTCAGTCGGAATACCCAACGGGCTTTTGCTGTATAATCATTTCACCTTTTTCGGCGAGGTTTAAGATGTTGTAGTAAGTGGGAGCTCCGTTTTTAGGCTTGGCTAAATCTTTATGTTTGAGATAAACTGCGAAAATCACGAGACTGCTAGAACTATCTTTGATCATACTTTTTTTTCAATATACAGAGTGCAAAGAAGTAGATTTGTTTACAGACGGTCGTGAGAACAAAAACCTAAAAATCAGATTTGACGTAGACGGAAGCAGAATTTTAAACTTTGCGTCGTAAAATTGTTAGCGTATGGTTAGGCCATAAAGTGGTTTTACCATAGCGTCTAAAGCCCATACTTTTACTCAGTAGCCACTCATTGATTTTAGCAAAGGAATATGGAAAGGAAAATTGACGCATGAAGAGGCGCTAACTCATTAAATCCTTCCCATTAATCACAGCGCGAATACAGAGAAGCGAATGGGTAAGAGTCTGTCGCGAAATTATCGAACAGAAAGAAACAAATGACCGCAGAGGTTGTGAAATCAAACGACCGCTATAATGAAATGAAAGCTGAATTAAAAAGGACATACTGTGAATTATTTGGCTCATGTTATGTCAACCTTTTGACCGTATACATATGAACCTTATCTTTTCGAGTATAAATGTGGAAAAATATTTCTATCAGGTTCAGTAAAATGTGAGACAAGTAGACCATTCTTTGGAATTTCTAAAGACAGGCACTGCATCACCGCGTTAAAAAAAACATTACTGCGTTTCACCGATTTAAAATATCTGACAATTACAAAATAAAACTAGAATTCTAAAGTGACATCTGGATATAAAGCTGAGAAGATTAAATTAAATAGTAAATTATTATTAATTATTATTACTTCCGTTTCGAGTCGGAAGGATTTCATGTTTGTTTCTTTCATTTATTCACTTTTCAAAGCCAATTTGAAAGAGAAACTGACTGTCATTCTCCGCTGCTCAGAAATGCTTAAAGTCAATAACAATTGATAAAGAACTAAGTTCTGTCAAAGCTAATCAGACCAAACATTTAGCAGAGGATGATCCAGCTAATACAAAAATAACTTCGATGACTGATCATCTCGTGAATTGCATTTTGATCTATAAATATTGCTCTAATCAACTACTAATTTTAAATGTAGAGATAAAACATGCTTCCGTTCTTTGAATAATGAATAGATTTGACAAGGATAAAATACCTTGACTAAGGCTGTTCTCTAATATACCAACAGCGAAAATAAAAATGTCTAACGCGGAGACTTAAGAGCGCGCAAACTGTCAGACAAAAGTCCCCACGATATATCAGTCGATAAGAAGTTACGATAGTCACCGATAGCGTAGGTTAACAGGTTCGCTTTATTAAACCAAAGAGTTTTAAACAGGAGAGTCACTGAATTTGGCCCGGTAGTAGTACTTTTGTGCAAGCCACAGTTAGTCATTCTCGTGGCGACAGTTCGGCTGGATTTCCGCCGCCTTCTCGGGTCCGCCCCGACGCCCCGAGAAGAGGCTTCGGTGGAGGAGCGCGGGCTCGTTTGCCGAACAGCGGCTGGTAATCGAATTTGTTCTCGGTTCTCCTGGTTTTCTGCTGTGTAATGAAGCATATAGGACTACCCTAGGTGGGGTGATAGCAGAAGATGGAGATGTATGATAACCCATTCCATTACATATGAATGAACGGGCTAACTTCAAAAGAAACTGCGATGGGCGATAACAGGGACTCTTACTACTCAATATACCACCGCAAAGATAAGCTGATGTTAAGAGTAGTGCTAGCCCTGAAACTAGGTGAATCAAGAGACTCTGAGCTGTACACTGTAGGAGTGTGGTTGATACATCGAATAGTAGAATAACGATAATGATGATGATGACGATGATAACGACGACGATGATGATGATTGTTCACGAGATTGAACTATATTCAAACTGATTGTACACAAACTCTTAACTTCGAATTTTACAATTTGACCGAATTCAAATTCACAAAAAACTACCAAGCGAATTCAAAAACTATTAATCGAATACAGGAGCCCATCAAATTTGATGGGCTGCTGTCGAATAAACGAAAATTGTCTCTCTGTCCAAGTCCTTCCAAGTTCTAAACTGTTCTGACCTATATTTTTTAACACTAGAGTTTTTAATCTCGGTCCATGCAAATTTCCATCACACTTCATCCAATCAGGGCTCGAATAAGTCCCTAAACGCACGAATGTCTTTCACCACCATCGCTAGTTCATTAGTCCTTTTGTCCAACGATGATGATGATGGTGATGGTGATATTTAAAATTATCTAAAATTTTCAAAGCGCAAGCATCGACGACACAAATGTAATCAAAACTGAAGAAACGATATTGACGTATATTGCCGGGAATAATTATTATGCTGACTAACATCAAAAAACAAAACAAGAACATCAGTTCAAATTAAAGACGTTAATGTTGTCAATTGCTCCACTGTTCGACCCACAAACTCTTGATTCGCTCTGCCTAAGTGCAAGTTGGTGCAAGAAATATTACCTACTCAATTTTTTACGGAGACTACTTGACTTAACCAACTCCGTCGACAAACAAATGCATATCCGCATTACGCTGTTAATACAGACAGTGAGGGGGATATTGAAATTGTCCGTATTAACAGGGTGTCTGTATTGAAAGTAAACTGTACGTAATAACTGAGGTGTCAGTATTTAGCGGGTGTCCGTCAAGCGAGGTTTGACCGTTCACGGTGTCAGGCAAAGAGGTTTAAATTCCGCTGTAAAAGTGTCATTGATGGACAGTGAAAAGTCCGAAATCTCATTTTACACATCTGTTAATGAGAAACAACGAAGTAAACAGGGGCACCCACCGTCAATTGTGGGAAAATATCTGTTCGGAACACGATCTGAGATCTAGAATTTTCGGAACATTTGTAAAATTTCTTGCTTGTCTGCCTCTCCTACGATTTTCGAACATCTAAAAAATGATAAAATTGCCCATTTTAACGGATTTTTACCCTAAAAAGGTCACCTAGAATTTTCGGGAGCCTTTTTTCTGGCAAAAATTTTCGAAAAGGTAAGTTTTGATCCCTAGAATTTTCGGATCACTAGACTTTCAGCTAGGAAATCCGAACAGATGAAAAATTTTTAGGGGATAAAAATCCTATATCTACTGTTTAAATACTAAAACACGTTTAACATGGTACGTTTAAGTGGTTTTGAACTATAATTCCATTGGGTGTCCCTGAAGTAAAGCTCACTTGCAACCGCAAGCTTTCTCTTTTTCAACGATTCCTCACCCCTTTTAAGGCTTAAATGCTGGACAGAAAAGAAGCGAACTTTTCGGTCAAAATCCCGGCTGAGACTAGTCACTAAGTCGCGTTTTCCCGTAATTGCCCGAGTCAAGTAGTGAAAATTTGGTGAATGACCTTTTCGTAGGCTGCGACGATACGCGAACATATTTTAACTTCATAAAATAGTTGGTCATAGTTAACTTCGAGCAACAGCCAGTGATTAGCCCACACACACACCCACTCAAGACTACCCAGAGCTTTGTCTTAATTTGCAAGCCATTCTCTGCTTGTTTCTGTTTCTTTCCCAATTTTTAATTATTCGTCTTCTGGCGACAATGCGCACATGAAGGTATTTTAAGATTGTTGGAAACTTTAATGAGAAAATACCGTAAAATGAATCTTAAGTGGTAAAAAAATATGGCATTCATGAACTTTAATCTCTCTTAAAAACTACTTGTTCTGAATGTGTCGTGAGTAGGTTAAGTGATATCGTTGTAAATGTTACAAGGAAAGCCGTTGGGTCGAGTGTTGATGGGTCTTCACTGACGGCAGACCATTGCCATTAGTCGGTGGTAAAATTCAGACGCACGGCTTGAACAAGGAGTACTTACAGTTAGTTTTGGAACATTAAACATTTGCTCGATGCCATCGCAACGTTGCCTCTAGAACTGTTGACAGCGACCGAAGAATGAAATTTACAAGCAAAATACTACATGTATTGGGTGATGTCAATACACTGGGGGAAGTTCATCGCAACTCGGAAACAAAGCACCGATGACCGTTTTGGTTCGCCCTTTCCCGCTACAAAACATTTCCAAAAGGGAAATGCTCTGGACTGGCTACGTTTCAGCTCATGGTTCGAAGCCGCGATATTGAGTGAAATTTTGTGCCGAATACCATCAGAACCATTTTACGAGAAAGATCAGTTTATTTTCCCGAATTTCACGAGTCTCGAAGGCCTTAGAAATACGATCAATAACTTCGAGCCCGGCTTTCGAGACATTTCGACTCTTTAGTTTTCGGAAATATTAGCGTCCTTTAATAGGAACTTAACAAAAACAAAAACAGCTTAGCGTCTGGAAAAGCCTTCTTAAGCTTTATTAAATCCACAACAACAGACTGAAAAGTATTAATAACTAGAATCAACATCCTGAATTTACAAAACTCCGCGTAATGCGGAGAAGCGACACGATCATTTTTCCAACAGATTTTGTCAGCATAGTTACACAAATTACTGCAGACTCACCATTACAAGTTTTCCACTCAGACAGTTTTTGAATTTTATGCTCTATTCTGACTGCCTGACGGCCCTACTTAAAAGGCCCTTTCCGACTCAATTCCTTCTTTTGCCGTATTGTTTTGTTGCCCTATAGAACTCGCGGCAACGCTTTCGTAGCCTCAGTACATCAGTATATCTTGACTAAAGCGCCGCAGGGTCGCAACACAAGTAAAAAAGGTGGTGATGGTTTGGGAGAAATTCTAGGATGTTCTAGATCGCATCAGTCATCAGTTCGTATCAGTGCAGGACAGTTTCTTCAGAGAATTTCAATCACGAGCTTTTTTTTGGTTCAGAGTTGAAACGGTCGGTAGATGAAGCCGAACTTTTAATACCGAATTCAAAAGTGGGCCCCGATTCAGATAACACTAGTTGCGCATGGATTTTCTGCCGTGATTGGTTTTGTTGTCTAGTGGTTTATTTTCTCTGTTTTCTCCCTGTTTCGACTTGAATGCTTTAATTTAAGTTTGGCTACGTGCAGCGTCAAATAACCCATACCTTATCAAAAAATAAAAGAAATAATCAAGTTCATCTCCACTGCTTTTCAACTTCTGGGCTGTGAGTAACAAATAATAATAATAAAATACGGAACGGTATCTCACCTGTCATTCTTTGTACTACTTTTTCCGCGAAAAAGCTGCTGGCATCTATTTTTTGTTTTTAATTCATGATTAAAATGAGAGCAATCAATATGCCGAAATATAAGCGCTAACCATGGAGTACTGAAGTGAAATTTTAATACTATTAAACGTTTTCATTTCACTGCAGTACTTTATAGTTAGCGCGTAAAGTTGAGGTCAGAAAGATAACTGAGAAAATCTACGACAAAGCCATCAATACAGTACAACTTCAATAATTTCTTACTTTAAATATGCACATAATAATCATCATGTTTCAATGAATCCCACGAATTCAATATGTCCCAAAGGAAGTCTTAAAATGTTTTGTTCAGTTCATAATCGAAAAAGGTAAAAAATCTAAAGCAAAACAATAATCACGATTAGAAAACAGCCGTTGAGTACATTAGCGCGTCAGGGCTTACAGTTTATGGTCAGTGATAGAGAAAAGTTAGTTGAAAACAGTGGGATGCTTAATGACTTTTATGCAAACCCAGCGGTAGACCACAGAGAGGCCAGTTCTAAATATACCTGAACTGGTTATTAGTTCTCATTATGTTCAACACTCGTATTTCTAAGAGGAGCTTTTATGAACAGGGTCATTTAGGTCACGCTGCGAGAAACAGGTATTCTTGTAAATACCACAACTGCTTTCTCCAGAGTTGCACGCAAAAGTAAACATCACTCACTAAAGAGTAAACAGATTGAGAACAAAAAAGATAACTAGTCAAAATAAGACTAGTTTAAGATTATCCGGTCCAAGGGCGACATTTATTTTCGATTCGGAATACGCTATGTGCGATAGATAGAGATCATTTGATGATCTTGTGTTCTATAAGACCCAGCCCCGAGCATTTCTCCAGCAATAAAACCTGTTTTTGAAAAGTGGCAAGTATTTCAGGCATCACCGTTCGCCGAAAGCTCACCTTTCATAGCGAACGATTTTGGGAATATTCTATTGTACTTTTCAACTAATACATGCAACAAAAGATCAAAAGAATGAATCGGCCCTAATTGAGATTGATTTCTGCTCAAAACAGCTACAATATGGCAGGTCTTGTGAAACAGTACTCCGGCCGCGTACGACAAGCTTTCCCCTATTAAAACCGTGACTGCTAACGAGACTTATAAAAACGTGTAAATTAAGCCTGAAAACAAAAGATTATTTAGGATTCATGTGTTTACAATACAAAAATCACCACTCACATTTCGTAATTTTTATTGAAAATGTCTGCAGCCTTTATGTTTCGTCCTTATCAATGACATTTAAACCACGAATCATGAACAAGGCTCTTGTGTGCGTCCATATTTAATAGCCGGCACAAAAGCACTTTAAAGTTGTATGTACAAAAAGGAGAGTCAGGATTTTTTCAAAGGCGCAGTGTTCTTATCAGTCTCTCGTCCAAATAAGGGGTATCAACCTTCAAAATCGGATTTAACTAGCAAACTAAACACAGTTCTTTAGCGAAAAAGCATGAAACTATTAACCAACATTTGCTCAATTACATTGATATGAGCCTTAATTAAGAAGTAAATCTTGAGTGCATAAGAATAAATGGACATTGCAAAGAATTGCAATGCTGGGCTTATATTTACCGATATTAACTTGTAAGTCAGTCGTCTTGGCGTGAAGTCTCTCGACTTCAATGACATAAACAGTTCAAAAGGAGCACCCGGTGATTTATATCTGCAGGACTTTAAATTTAAAATCGTAGCATTGAAGCGTGGAGTAAGAGTGGTGATGTGTATCCACTGTGCGCACTTGAAAAGGTTCCCGGCAAGCTAGTCAGCTCCAGAGGACAAAACAGACTGTCAGAGATCGACAAAACTCGATCGGAATCTAGACGTTCCAAATGCATACAACAAAAATATTCTCGAATAAGTCGAGCCGGGATTGTTTGGTATTTCTCTCATCCTAACAAAGATCTATAATCCGTACTTAGAAGCAACGCGCGAATGAAAACTAACGTCGCGTGCATTGTAGATTGGGAACCCGGGAATAGCCCGCGCCGCTATCGAGATGAGTCATTTTACCACATAGGTATTCACCAAAATATTCCGTTATGGAATTATGCTTTCCTGACTCACTTACGATTTTAACTTTCATCAGCAGTGTTCAGTCAAGTATCAAACCTCATTAAGAAATATTTTCGTAGCGAAACTTTGAACAATTTCGCGTAAGTCTTGATTATTGCAGCACGGGTACGCTGTTCGCGAAATAATTGGTCATGTTATAACGGCAATGATTTACGCCGGGTATCAAGCTAGCGGCATCATCTTCTCGCTAAATATCAACGGTGCATCGTTTGCAACAAATTTTCGCCGGCAGCCACGCGATGTATCGATCAATGTTGGCACTAAAGAATTCCACATACCTGTTGCTTGAGAAGCGCTTCCTGGCGATTAATGTCCTCAATTGTAGCCATTTCGGCGTTCTTCAAGCTCTGGCCCCTGCGCAACAAACAAGAGAATGTGAAACAGCTGTTGCTATCGATCCGGGCGCTCTTACAACACTACTGCATTCACAAGCGAATTATCAGATGGAGAGGCGAATTAAGCTATTACCGGAATGCAAATCAAGAAGCTTGTTTGTTTTTTATGTCGCTTTTGATTGAGCGTACAAAAGAATACAACGCAGCGGACAGTACACTGAAAGAAACTGACGTGCGCGTGACGTCAACAATTGAACTTAAATGCCTGACGTGACAAAAAGCTCTGCTTGTCGAACTGATTAAAACGCTTTTTGTGACATTTATAACGCTCAGTGCGCCTGTTTTGTAAAGATTCTCTTGTGTACCACTTAATCCCGTCTTGAGGTCATCCCACTTAGCCGACAGCTTATTCGTGATAAGCACCAAAGATGGCTATTTGAACAGACGATCTCGAAGGGAGCATTTCACGATTCCCTCCACTTGAAGTTGGACACATGTCAGAGATAATTGTGTGAAATTAAGACAGCTGACTTTTGGTGATCATGACCTCCAAAATTCTTAGAGACAACTTCAACAGAAAAAAAACCACTCATTGGCCAGAGGGCCAGACGGAATTAAAATGTTAAAGTATGGATGAGGTCCATATTTTAAGATAAAGCCAAATTAAAGAAATTGTGTACATACACCACCTCGTTACTGGCACTGCAAACGAAACTGTTTATCCACAGTTGGTTTATCTACTCCCCGTTTTTAAAGACAGTTTTGGCTGGCCGTGACTTTATAAATTTTGTGGCCGAACTAAAATTTTTTCAGCGAGTTTCGAAACGTCGTTACTTGTTATCAAAAGGGTACACACTGCCCTTATAAGAAGCCGTCGTGCTACTGCGGTAACCAACACAGGAATCGATACTTTACCAGTACACTTGCTACGATGTCAAGAAGATGACACTCCTCCGAATAGTGGGCATAATGTAGTTCTAGAAAGAATGCCTTGGTTATCAAGCTTGCTTACAAAAAAGCTTGTTTTAACTTTGGTGCATTAAAAATTTATTAATGTGAGATCAGAAAGTCTTATCATAATTTTCAGCAGCCAGGTGGGCAAGGCCTGGAGGAACGTTCTAACTTGGCGGGAGGAGGCGATGTGATGTCCTATGATACCGAAACGTTGTTAAATTTAAAATGGGCTTAGCAGGCCTGTATAAACTTTACCTCATGTTTTGAGGAAACAGTGATACCAGAGCCAAGCCAAATATTTAATGCAACGCTGAATTCGTTATGGTAGGCTCGATTTCCGCCAGAAAAGAAGCTAGTAATCGACAGCTATAATTGTATGTTATTGAGATGGTCTTCAATATTTTTTCCATTCTCGATTTCGTAGTTTTTACCGAATAAGTTTCTAATGATATATTAAAGAATTTCATCAGAGAAGGCCCTATCTTTAATTTAGTCATGAAGAGGATTTAGAATGACTGCAGTTAGTCGTGGCTTTTCTAACCCAAGTTTCAAGCGTGACAACTGCAAGAAAAAAAAAACTCTGAAGACTTGACAACCCACTCGCACACACGAATGCTAATGATCTTCACGAGCCTTACATGCATTAAAATTTTTCAGATATGGAACATGGTTCAATGTCCAGGGGGTTGAAACGGTTCATGACTCTAAGAGTATGTTGAAAACTTCAGAGAGTCTTTCCAGTTTCCTTTGGCCGGAAACTTACTCTACCACCGTTTTCAAAATATCGTGGGCTCAAAGATAGCTCAGTGGATTTTTAGACCAAACTAGACAGTCGGCTTATGTATCGCTGTCAAAAATTGAAGTTAGCTATTCTTTCTTCAGCACTTTTGTCTTTTTTTAATGTGTTCTTTCCATGGGTAAATTGCGGGGCCGGAAACAATCTATCGGAGTCATAAAGCTTTATCAGATATTGATCAATATCCTAAACTCACTTAATAACCTTTTTCCCGAGTAAACGTCAGATACTTTGCGAGCAGAGGTTTCTTTGTTACATGGCTTTTAGCATTTACTAAGTCGTTAGCGTCGTCATGCCACAGAGAAACTTCTGCTCGCAGGGTAAAGTCAGAACGAAGGCTACCAAATCTCTGTGCAAAACAAGGCTGTTATTTCGGCAATTATGAGATAAAAAATCATGATATTTTTTTCTGCATAATACTTAATAATAACGGTATATGACCTGAAAAATATATTCCAAAAGAAGTATTTTGATAAGACTGGATTATGCCGCTGCGGATTTCTTTAACTGAGTTGTTCTCGATTTTTCAACGAAATCATGCAGTTCTTTCACTCAGTCTTTTTAAATTGCGCAACACAGCAAAGAAATGCATTCAGGTGATGGCAGAGATAGAAACGGTGCTTACATAAATTGTGCGGAAATGGTCAAATCTTACTTCCCCCATCACAACTACTTGAACTCTGGTCCACTTCAAAGACTGATTGTCAATGGAGTTTGAAATACCGTATCCATCCTTTCGGCTAGCAAGATTAACATGTACAAACACGTTTATCAAGTCTCCGATTTAGGCATGCACTAAATTATCAATTTGAAAAGGTTAAAAGGTGCGTTGCGACAAAGCGCTTGAGATCAGTGCCGTTATCTATGCACTCAACTGCAAAAGGACCGAATTCATTAAGATAGAAATCAATGAAGATAGCGGACCTTTTACTTACCGATGTTTTTCTTTCTTAAAACGAAGGACTAAAATATAGAAAATCATCAATATCCGCAACCCGCTATACATTGCCGTTTTAGGAACAAAAAAATGGTCCACAGCTAACAATGCAAAATGGATTCGTTCAAGAGATATTTGGTGTTCTCCAGATCTTTTTTCTAGCTTTTTCCTTTAGCAATCTTGACTATTTCCTATTATTTTTTTCATGTTTAATTCACCAGTATTTATTACCAAGCATTCACTATCATGATATATATTTATTTTATACTTTATGACCCTTGGCGGGGCCTGTGATGAACTGCATAGAAAAGACCCTTCCTTCAACTTTTCAGATGGACCAGTTAGGCAAAATTCGTCGACACCACTGAACACAGCGCCTTAAAATTAGTAAAATTGCAAAGTTGTAGCTATATCTTTGTATGAGTTTTCAATGCAAACTTGGCCGCAATTTTACTAGACGTTTAAAGGTGCTGTTTCTAGCGGAGTTGACGGATTTTCCCTTACTTAATTGTCCTTATCATATCAATTCGCTGAAGGGTCTATCCAGAGCCATTGTAAAAATAATATTTAAATAAAATATACTTATAGTTAAGATACACTTTTATATAACTGACTTTGTCCAGCGCCTATTCTTTTGCCTTCGAACAAAGATTTTGTGTCCGTTCCGCAGGTACAGAGTTGAATTGTCAAGTGTTTCCAGTGATTAGCTAGAAATTTTCCGTAGGTTAATAACGCCCATGTTTTCCAAATCAATCCTACCGCCATCCCTTAAATCGTTATAACGCGTTTGACTTAAATTTCAAAATAGTAGTGAGAAGAAGAAGAAGAAACAGGTTACAGTAGACCAAGGCCGTGTAGCGCATAAAAAGAACGTAAACTGTATGAGCAGTTTTTGCGAATGCGACAAAACGGGACGCTTACTGACGCGGACAAAGGCGACTAACTTCAAAAACCAACTTTCTACAAAATCCTAGGAGAAATTCTAATTATCTTTAATTAAATTTAGGCTGAGAGAACACAAACTGTTTTCATTGTCGCTCTTGCATATTTCAGTGGTAAGAATAGAAACCTAGTCTTGCTACTTATATGCCTATTTGGTTTCAAACTATTGCTTTCGCATATTCTGCCATCGAATAATCATGTTTTTACAAACCCCGGAGTGCTGGAAAACCCCGGCTGAAGTTTGAGCGTCTTAAGTTGTAAAAATCAGTAAATCACCTCGGCATTATGTTTCAAAGAGATCAGAATCTTCTCGCCTACGCAGGATACCTGCAAGATATTTTACGTCTTTGGATTTACGATTTTTGTAAAAATATGCATCGTCACGTTTCTAGTGTTTGCTGAGGTCGGCTAGCTTTATAATTCTACATCTGCGCTTACCTGACCACCCGTACTGACGCATAGAAGATGGCGTGTTTCGCACATTAAACTCCAAGTACCTCACTGACGTACAGTGTATATCGTATCAGTGAATGCATGAGGGAAATACAGCAACTGGCCGTAAAAGGTGGGAGTGTTACGTTATTTCTCAATGTTACGTTGTTTGGTGCAACTGAAAAACCTTTCGGCGAAAACGCGAGATTATTTTGTTTTTATTTTGTCGCTCGCTAGGAAAGCCACAGTTTTCTTGTCCAATTAGAATGTATTAATTTTTAAGGGAAGAAAAATTGTTGTTGCTAACCCACAAATACAGTTTGTAGAGCCAGGTGCTATAAGAATAATCAAAGTACTAGAAAATTATTGACGAAGTGTTATTTCGGGTTTTGGAATTCCAGCTGAAAACCAATCACACAAATACACAAAAATGGTCGTCTTCGTTTAAACAAATTTTAAACCTTGTTGTTGCCTCAATGGCTACTGTAGTACCGGATATCCTTTAAAAAAGAACCAGACAGGATCTAGAATTTGTCGATAATTCCAAATTTGTTTGCACCTTTAGTCGAAAGTGTATTTAGCTTGTAACCAAACCTTGCCAACCGTTGAACCTTGGGCTTCAATTAGCTACTGTAGCACCGGAATAGTGTGGGTGATTATACACTGGAAAAAAAAAAAAACAGACAAAATCTAGAACTGAAATTTGCAACTAGTACCAAAATTTTTTAAAACTTCATATACTCATTTTCATTTTTTGCAGCCTTTAAATCACATTGAAGTGTACTCTTCTATTAGTTTGTAACGAAACTTTTGGCAAGCATTAAACCTTGCTTTAATCCCTTCAATAGCTACTGTAGCATCGGAATTCAGTGGGAGATTATGCATTGAAAAAAATACAAAACAGACAAGGTCTAAGACAGAAATTTGCACTGAGCTAATTCTCAAGTTGTTGTTTAGTTGTTGTTTTTTCAGCCTTGCGTCACACGTGTAATTGGTTTGTACCCAAACGTTAAACCTTGGTTAAATGGCTGCTGTCAATCCTGAATTCTGTGGGCGATTATACATTCAAGAAATTCAGACAAGATCTAGAACTGAAATTTGCAGCCAATTGCAAAGTTTGTTAATTTTCTGAATTTTGATTTCAATTTATTTTGATTTGCAGCCTTAACGCTGCACGTGTATTTGGAAATCTTTTACAATCGTTAAACCTGGTTTCAAAAGTCGGCACTGAAAACCCGGAATTATGTAGTCGATTATGCATACCAGATAAAAGAAATCAGACATGCAAGGAATCTGCAGCTAAATCCAAAGTTTTTTTAGCAGCCTTTAACTCATACTTAGGCTCAGTGAAATACAGTCAATAAATGCTCACCTGATCAACTCAATTCAGTGCAGTCGAAATTGGCTTTATGCTGGTGTATAGAAGCTAGAAGCTCTGAACTCCGTGGTAACCACACTCAACAATAGCAAAGGTTAACTGTGCCTCTACCTAGTATTGAGCCGGATTAAAGAGGGCGGTAATTGTTTCCTGAGATAGTATGCCAAACCGGATGAAAGTTTGCCTTTGTCACGTACAAAAAAATAAAAGCCATTGTAGTAGGACCTATCGATGATGAGCAAGGGTCGCATAGTTGAAGGAATGTAGCGTTTGAAAACGCCGCGAAAATGTTTTGCAGTTTGCCGATAAACTGGTTGAGCGTAAAGAAAACAATGCCGGCTTGCTTATAGTGGTCCTTATTGATATGCGCTTGTCTAGTACTGTAGGCAGTGAAGCAACCAAGTGCTCTGGACACGATATGAGGGCAACTGGTTTATCTGTCCAATAACTGAGATCTTTCCAGTCTACCAACGTGTTCTAAAAAGGTGTTAATGAAATCAGACCGCTTAATTCAGTTAACATAGCGTAACAAGGATAAAATAAACAACCAACAAATTGAGCAAATTATTTGCATGCACTAAAAGAGCTCTAAAAAGGCTGAGCACGAATGGGATAATAACCGGTTAGTTGAAGACTGATAAGTCTGATAGCCAGGTCTACATCGAGGCTTATCTACCGCCATGTCTGCACGAAAAGATGACGAAAAATAATAGTTATTGTAATATTTTTATTTGATAAAAATGACAGTGTTCGCTCATTCACTGATCGGCAGTATTCGGCACTTGTGATTGTCTGTGGGTTTTATGATCTGATAGCCTTAAGCTATACCCTGAAAAAATATTTAATTGTTGAGAATTGCATGATGTTGCAACTGTTTCCGAAACCGGTTCTCATTAGTCTTTGTTTTCTCGTGTGTGTGGTTTTGTTACGTTACGATATATCAGACTCTGATGAGATTAGTGCCCCGACTGAATGTCTAGCTGTTAAGAAAACGCTAGTAAGTTGTTACATTATCAGCAACGTAAATGCATGCTGCCAGGATCAAATCATTTGAGTTTCTGGTGTCATACAAAAGGCATTGATGCTGGTGCGTGTTTGGTTTTTCGAAACTAAAGCTTTATCAGGGAAAAATATCGCAGTATGATTAGATCTCTTGTCATCAACTCTAGTGAAGTATTCAATCGACACTACTTACTATTGCTAAGTAAAAACTTAAAGGCCCTTTTAATAAGTATTGAGAAACCACCGGTAGCCGGCTGACAGCACTAAGTAAGATATACGCTGATATAATACAAGAAAACAATTGAAGCTGAGATTCCTCGGTCTTTCTAGATCTTTGCTCCGAAATCATACGGAAATGCTTTCTAGGCAGGATTAAATTAGCGGGCCAGAGCGGCACATTCATCGCGATAGACTATGAGCCAGTCTTCCCGTGGCAGGGGATGGGAGAGGATCGAGGGTTGGAAACTCCCGTATAAAACCGTGATGCTAGTCAGAAAAAAATAAATGAATAAACTAAATGACAATAAATAACGATATAAATCCAGGTAGCGTAACGTATTGGTTCTTCGGTCACCTAACTCCTTATCGAATAGCAATTTAGAAATGTTGGTTTTTGAGGAGAGGGGGAAAAAGCGGACTACATGATGGAGGAAAACTTCTCAGAGCAAAGATGAGAACCAACAACAAACTGAACCCACATATGGCTTCAACGCCTAGATTTGCATCTGCTAAAATTGGTGGGATGCGAGTGCTCCCATCACTGTACCACCCTTGCCTTCCCTAAAGAAGACCAATCTACAATGGGCGACAAAATGAGTTGAGACACTTCGCCCTAAACTGGGCTTTTTTACGTTTTACTGGCTTCAAAAGGAGGAAATCGCTACATGCAATGTTGTACCGATGTTCGAGCTACCTACAGAAAACATCAAACACCCCAACTTAGAATGGAGGGGACAGGGGAGGGGTGCGGATTCTTTTGTTCCTTGAAGTTACCCTATTTGAGTACAATGCCTCGACCTTTTTGTCGCCGATTGTAGGCGTGACTCAAGCTTTATTTCCCCCATAAGGGGGCCTTAGATAAGATTGCAGATAAGAGGCAACGTTTCTGGTTGTGCTAAAGATATGGACATGGAATGTTGCCTTCAGCACTGTCGGATCAATATTTGGATGCCTGTACTGGTGAAAATAGACCTTCTGTCCCCGCCGAATCTGCAATTTACATCCCTAAACTAGAGGACAAACATCACCACCCATTTCATATGGTGGTCATTCCACGCAAGTTTTGGAGCTATAGCTGCGAGTGACTTATGGCTGATGTATTTTTTACGGAGTTTAAGAGACCATTCAAGTTTCAAAGCACTGTCGACGTAAGCCGTTTCCTAATAAAATCATGAATATGTTACCAACCTAGGTTACAAATTTTTAACCTGAATATAATTTTTACCTGAAACAAATGCATGAAACACAAACATTATTTAGATTAGTCTCCCTCCACTTCGTGCACCAGGGGCACCCAACGACTGCTTTCTGTAAAATATCTGTTCGGAGAAGCAATATTGCCTAGAATTTTCTATTACTTGAGGACGGCTAAAAATTTCGCCATAACCGTTCCATTCATGTACAATTTTCGAAACTTTCTCATAAATCCCCTACGATTTTCTGAGGCTTAATTTATCACATTTCACTCCCCAAGTAAAAAGAAAAACGAAACATAAAACTTTCAGATTCAAAACTGTTATTGAGAGAGGAATCAGAAAAATTTTCACATTCGTAAAAGGATAAATTGCATCTAAAATTTTGAGAAAAATAATTCTGAAGCCCTTGTAATTTCGAAAAGACGCAAAGTCCCCTAGGATGACCGAACAGAATCCAGTTTTATACCGCCACTTAGAATGTATTTCTTGAGATCTTAAACTACTCTGCATAGCCTAAAAAGTGTTTTCAACGTATTTAGAAGGAAATCGTTGTTGGGTGCCCCTGCTGCACGTTTGTAGTTAACTTCAATAGGACAATTCTTTGACCTTGTGCTTTTAAAATTAAATACAAATCGTTTCTTCTAATTATATACTTGCAAAAACTGAAAAGGCTGTTATTGACAAATACAGCCTCGGGGCAAGTTTTGCATGTGAGTGTGTAATATAACCAAAGTCGACAAGTTCGAATGACGTTTTATTTCATTATTTGCACAGTAAAGCTGGCGCCGCGGCATAGATTTTTCGCATAGTCAAAGTAAAATGCAGAGAAATGTCCTCCTCGCTTAAATATCCAAAGTGAAGTAAGTTAAAACAAAAGAGGACTCGGCGGCCGACAGTACATATCTGAAAAAAAAATTCAAACACTCTCCAATTTGTTTAATTTAGGATAGGTCGATTTTCCGTAGAAAGTGAGATTGAAAAAATGTTAATATTGTTTTAGCTGTTTCCAGATTATTTACATGTTACAGAGAGAGCGCCTAAAACATTTTCTACCATGATGATAAGTTGTCGAAATATCTACTGCAAATTCAAACGTTTAGAACACTCATTTTTAATGCCGCGTCGCGTTACTTTTGCATATAAGACGACGACTAAAGATACCAACAATAGTATTAGCCATTCCTCAAGCTGTAAATGGAAAGAAATAACTTATAGAGTATACTTTCATCATAATTAAAATCAGTGTTTCAGCTATTAATATTTCATAAAAATGTTTTGATATCCTAATAACTGACATTTAGTCTTTTTTAGATTCCTCGGCAGGTGTAGTGGAATACGTTTTTTATCAAATTTTCCTTCTTCTTTTTTCTTTCTTGGTTCCACGTGCATTTATTTATAACTACCGACGTTCACGCGAGTATGTTTCTCATACCAGCCACAGCCGAGTAATTTCCCCTCATTTTAATGTTAAGGAAACTGGCACTGACCTTCAAACAGTCGAGTCTGCGCACGTTTATTTGCTGAATGTCAAATCACTGCTTAAGTAGGCCATGTTGTTAGTACTTATTATAAGTACATGAGAGGACGAAATGAAAGAACCTTGTAGCGACCTCGTTGCCAGTGTCTTTGTTCGGTTTGCCTGTGTCTAAATCTTTTGCCAAGTCCCTGTCCGGAGTCTTCCCAGCCCTTTCCGGTGTCACAGTGATATGGGCATCCCGCACGTTTTGGGCGTCCCCATTCCCAAAACTCCAGGGATATGGGCATCCCCGGTGACCCTAGCCCAAATCGCTAAGTTAATGCCCATATCGCTAGGGTTTTGGGAATGGGGATGGCGAAAACGCGGGGGAGCCCATAACACTGTAACACTGGTCAGTTCAGTGACGTTAAGTCGACTTAAACACGTGACCCGAAACGCATAGGTCATGCGGGAATACTAAGGCATAGAGGTTAGTAGGCTCGATTACCAGCCGCTGTTCGGGAAAATGAGCCCGCCCCGGGAGACGGTGGAAATGGAGCCTAAGAGGTTAGGCAATGTCTTGGGCTATGTCGAACGTTTTTTTGCAGCCTTTTTTTCCAGGTTCCTTCTTTTAGAAACGTGAAGATATCAAGGGAAGAAAAGACACCGAGAACGAGGTTGTGTGACTAAGTAAGGAATCCTGGGACCCACAAGGGCTTCCAAAACAGAAACAATGAAGGTGAATAGCAATCTCGCCGCCTCCTTGCCATGGTTCTCTCCTGCTCGTCCTCCAGAGCGTGAGAGAGGCGCGGCTACTCAGGGACACGAGCTTGCCAATCTCATACCCACAATCCTCAAATTCTAGATTAGCCGGAGGTCGCTTTAAGGCAGCGAAATGACCAGTCTGGCCCCAGAAAAAAAAATCCACGAATGCTTGACTTGTTTAATTTATAATCATAACTATAACTAAAATTCTCAAATCTGATTGGCTATCAACTGCCCTGATTTCAGCCTTAATTGGACAATTTAGTAGGACAGTACGCGTCATGCTTAAGTATTGGACAGTACGCGCCACCACGTGTTTCTTCTTCTTCTGTTTTGATTTTAAGAAAGGACCTTATATATCACAAATTTTGTTAAAGTTATGATTAATTGGTAACAGAACTTCGTATCGTCCAATTCAGTCTGTAATCATACTCGTGATTAAACAAATCAGACTACCGAAGTAGACTCCACTCAGTCCTGTTACTATTACTAATCGCAAGAGTATAGGTCAAGTAGCGTTATTCTCTCTTGATACCCCTCATTTTACCCTCTTTTCCGACAAAATGCTTATGCAACATCCCTTAACGTTTCTGCAATAAAAAATATATATTAAAAAAAACAGACAAGCCATAAAGAAAAACAAAGACAAGGTGAGGTGCTTCAATACCAGATTCTTTTTTTTGATTAGTTTACATTATAATATCAACGTATATAATTTCTTTACAAGATTATTCAAACAGGTTTAGTCTCAAGATTTCTACACTAACTATAACATATGAAAATATCTCGTTTAATTGGTTTGCCAGTAACTTACAAACAACCTTTTTTTCTTTATTTCACATTGCTAGTTCTCTTTAATCTATTTTCATGGCAAATTTTTCATTCCCTTGCTGGTTGATTATATTGCAAACAGCAACCAGAGAAAACGTCTTTCAAAAGATCATAGAGCAATCGCTCTATCTTAAAAATCTGTATTTATCTATATCTATATTTACAAGAAATTCTCTTTAAAAATTTACACATTTACAAAGTAAAAGACTTTAACTTGGACTAAATAAATTAAGCTCAGAAAGGCTTCTATAGAGATGGCATAATACTTACAATGCCCTTTTTATCAAGTGATAAATTATGTAAACTCAGTTATGTAAGACATGACACTGAGGTATTCTGATTAATAAAATATTGTCAACAGCGATCGGCTAATGTAGAACTCCCTCTGGTACCAACATCTCAACCAATTACAATGAAAGTCAAAACCATTCATGGAGTCAAGTTTTGTGTTTATAGACTTGACAACAATTTGCCACTTCAGCAACGAGAGGGAACTGGGTTTAGTTAACTTTCACAAAGACTTATGGGACTGTTACTAGCGAGTAGGGAGAAGGGAAAAATGGCCAATAGCTGACTGGCGCCTGCCCAGTAACAATCCCTGAAACAATTATTGCAAGTTGCATTTCGGCTCCAGTTACCTTCTCGATTTTAAAGTTACCAATCACGGAGCTACCCTCGTAAATTACATCGCAAGTTCAGTGTTCTCACACCTAAAAAAAGAGCAGATATGCAAACCCTTGGACACCTGGAAACTGTCTCTTTTGTAGTACCTCCTCAACTTCAACCATGCACCCCACTACCAATAAACACAAATCGACCCAGTCCCCACATTATAACATGGGCATAGCTCAGGACATTATACATACTGTAATAATTCACTTTTTTGACGAAATAGTCTTGTCATTGTTGAAATATGCAAAAAAATGCCACCCAAGGCACTGTACTATGATCAAAGATTATTTTGCATAAAGGGCAAAATTGGGCTAAATTCCAAAATAAATTTCAGGAAAACTCAAAACTCAATTCCATTCTGGAGTTTTGGACCCATATGGGAGACGAGGAGCTTCATACCATATTCAAGAGGCTCGCAGATAATCTGGCAAAGATAGCATGCATGTAATTGTTTCACTTAAAAATTGACCCATGACTTGCAGAGACAAGCAAATTTTTTCTGGGGTTGCTGGCCACCCATGAAATTGGCTTCAAAATGTTATTCTCTCATTTCATTGTCAGCTTGTGGGTAATTATCAGAGGCTTTAAGATACACTTGTAGCAGATAATCCTGGTAGCCTAGCCATTTCTTCAGCATAAGAGACAGTCAATTCATACACAAGCCATAAAAGGATTATCTGCTACAACTGTATCTTAAAGCCGCTGATAATTACCCACAAATGAATTAATCAAGAATTGGTGATTATACAGAGTAGCTCCCATGTCTTTAAAACTCCTGTGAGTATTCCAGTCAGTCTTTAGAAAAGCCCACATCCTGAGGGCCGCATTTAACCTTGCAAAATAAGCCACTCATACATCTAATAATAAAGGAGTTCTTTCTCCATCTGCTGATGCACCTCCATGCCTACAATTACGTTGGCATATTGGACATGTTTCTTTAATCTCCATCCACTTCATAATGCACCTAATTTAAACAGAAAAGTTAACTTTGTAGTTCCTAATCTTAAAGGCTGATTTTTAGACAGTACGATTTTTACTTACAACTGTTGTGCCCAACTAGCATATGTCATGACTTCATGTCACACCATGTTGCGTAAATTAATCCCATGACATCCGTATGATATGGTGGATGTCATAAGGGAAAATTGTGCACGTGTGGATGGTCGAAAGTCATGACACATGCTAGTCCCGCACGATAGTCATAGGCAAAAATCGCACTGTCTAACTCGGCATTTAGAGTTCCCACAGAAAAATGCCACTAGCCTGCAGTGCAGGCGTTTTCTTTGGGCACATGAATGTTTTTGCTTGCGAAAGAGCCATGTGCTTACTGAGAGGGTTCCCAGTCTATGAGCAGACTTTTTAGCATGACACTCTCACTTTTTTGCTGAGGTGCTATTTAAATTTTTACAGCCATCTCTAGCTGCAGTTGCCTTGGCCTCTCCTTTTTAGTCAGGATTGGCCCCTGAAAGCTGTATAATACAAGCTCTAGGAATTATTTGAGAGGAGGCTGAATTGAATTGAATTGGGTGAGGATGATGGATGAAATGTAGAAGCTATTGATCACTTTCTTCAAGAGGTCCAAGAGGTACTCATTGCTAAACTATTGACAGCCTCCATTTCACCAACACACGCAAAAAATGAGATAACTCATGCAGCCCTAGCTTAAGGCAAGGAGGTGGGGAGTGAACTTCTATCTTAGTTTTCTCCTAAGTTAAAAAATAAAAGAAATAAACATTTGCTTGACCTACTTGTGGTGATAAGCATGCCCACATCTACAAATACTAATTTCCTCCTTGTTCCTAAAATCATCCAAACAAATTGCACACGTCTAAAAGAAAGAAAAAAAGCTGTATTAATGAACTGAAGAGTGACAAAAAGAAACAAGAGACCAAGAGAATACACTGGAATTCCAGAAACAACAAAAGTTTGTAAGTTATGTTACACAATATTACATGTCAGCAAAACTTGTTCTTATTCTACTTACATCACTCTTCAGAGAAACTTTCTTCAACCATTTCTTCTTGTAATTTGTCTTCAACGAAATAAAATAGCAGAAATATTTATTTAATAAGATGAAGTACATAACATACTTGAAGCATGACAAGCTAGTAAGCATTCCATAGCTTCCACAACAATAATGCCCATTGTATTTAAGGCATATTCAGATTGGCTTATTGCTGGATTGTTGGCGCGGTTTAAATCAATTGACTGGCTGGCCAATGTCTTAACTGAGGTCTAAGTGCTACACGTAGCTGTTCATCAAGCAAACTTTACTATATGGCTCTGATAAGAGCTCTGCATGAACCTCCTTAGAATCCACTAAAGAAATGGTAAAGGTACAGGGTGCAGCCATCCAGCTACTGGTGCACCCAACAGGTTATAACACCCTTCTTCCTTTTACTGTACTCATCTGAACTTTTTAACCTTTTTTACCATAACATTAGTGTATTTTTATCTGATGAACAATAAAGACACATTATTACTAGAATCGCTTGAGGCATACCCAAGAGCAACTCTAGCTTCCACAGTGCTTAGCAAACCTTCTCTACTAAGGGCATCCATAACTTGATAGTTGCACAGCCACAACATTTACCATTTCTTTTATAACAAAATCAAAACAGAACAACTTTTAATTTTGCGCATAGATAGCAGGAAAATGACATGTGAGTTTTGTCATCTGCCTGGCATTATGGCACCCGCAAATAATTTTTTTTACAAGTCTTTTTCTTTCATGAAAACCTTAGCACTGAATAAGTAGTTTTCCACCTCAGTTTCTTTGACATTTTTTTAAACTTTCTCTCTGTATTAAAACAGAAACCTTCGCAAACTAGGTGATAAAAACAAACTGTAGTTACTTAGCGTAGAAAGTTGACCTGTACAGCTTTGTGCACGGGCTAGCTTGGTGCCAGCATTCCCCAATGGGCAAATAGTAAATTGGGTATTTAACCAATCAAAGTGTGATTTAACAAGGAGAAAAACTTATGTTAATTAAGTTTTCCAGTTTACATGAGCAACTCTTCTTTTCAATGTGATAGCTACTAAATAAGCAATTATTCAGATGATTACTATATATCAATTTTTTTAACATGTCATTTAACACCATTCAAATGGGAAAGAAGAGGAATACCCAAAGGACACTATTCTGACCTCAAAATCTCTAAAGTGAGTGCCATTTCATGTGCTTCTCTCAGACATGCATAGAATTTTTGATATATGCAATCATGGATTTTTAAACAACTCCGAATCTTGTCTCAGATTTTACCACCATGTACCACAGCTTGTAGAAATATATAAAAAAAAAAACTTGTTAACTGGTCAGTCCATAATTTACCTTTTTAAGGCCTTCATAATGAACTCTTCTTGAAGACTCTAAATCATGCTGGGGTTCATCAGATGTCCTGAGGAAAGAAACATACATGTACATGTAGTTATCGGTTGTCAGTTACTCTTTAAAAAGTCATCATTATCATTCTTCACACCAAGTAGGGATTACTAGGGCAGGAAATAATATTTCTCCCATCAATACAGTTCTCTCCTGGTTCTGTTTTTTAAGATACAACGGTTACTGGACCCAAACTATACCCTCAAACCCAGTGGACCAGAGGCTTTTCTTAGTCTGACCTCTCACCATTGACCAATCCCATATGGTTTGAGGGAGCTGTTAATGACTGATTAAGCACCGCAGCCGTTATTTCATTTTCCCTGTTAAAGGTGCAGCGCTTATTCAAGAGTGATGCTTATTTGAGTGTGGTGATTATTTCAACTACGGGGAAAACACCGAAAGGAATATATAACCTGAGAGTTAGTCGTGATCTTATTTCTTAAGCGATATGGTTTTGATATCTCTTAAAACAAGTGCTGTAACAAAACTGGGGTGTTTATTTATAAATACCCAAATTAGCACCACAACACTTATTCAAGAGCAACACTTATTAAATTGTTTTCAGTAAAGGTGTGGCCCTTATTCAAGAGCGATGCTTATTCGGGTAGTGGCGCTTAAATCTTAGGCTTATTAACCCTTAGAGCACAATATCCAGATTCAAATTCTCCATACTGATTTCCATACATTTACTTGAAGAATAAGTTGAGAGAATATGCCAAAAGATCAACAATAGTTCTCATAACCTTCCCTCTAGATTTTGTACTGAATTTTCTTATACTAGACTCTTCTTGGGACTTAAAGGGTTATAAAGACAAGCAAACTTCACCACTATGACAATTAAGGTGACAATGCTAGACTAAAGAGTAAGAATTTAAAGTTGACACATTATTTAATTGCAGACACAGAACATCACCCAATGAATACATCTAGATCTTGGCTCCTGAGGGAAGAAATTTTCAGTATTACAATTCTGACTTAAGGTCTACAAGGACCCAGGATCATTTTTAACTTTCTGAGTCCTGAGTGACATAAGGGACTATAAGATCTGACGACAGAAATGGCAACGAGAATGTCAAAAAAGCAATAGGTTTAATAAGCAAACCAACAATTTGCTTGTGCATCAGACTTTTTTGTACATTCCTTTGGAGTTGTGCATGACTACAACGTGAAAATGTTTTACACAACTTTATGTTTTATGGAGGATGTAAAAAAGCACCAACAAAATTTTACTTCTCTTTCTGAACTTGGATTACGCGGCTGGGAATTCAGCTCCAGGAGAGTTTGCCTACATTTAAAAAAGTATGCCAGTTGGAAAAATCACAATAAAGATTGAAAACTGTGAATTCACTTTTTCTACAACATTTTCCCTGTTGCCACCGTCCACGCATCTTAAGGTCCCTATTGACATAAAAGATTGTCTGCTTACCTCAAAAGATAACAACAGAATGCAAAACAAAGCCCAACAATGAGGAAACCAATGAATAGAATTGGTAACAAGAACAAAATTGGATCTGACACGTTAAAGTCCATGCCACTCATGGCTGGCTTCAGATTCTAAACCTCGGCTCTACCCTAAAATGAAATAATACCAATGTTAAATGTTACTGAGTGCAACTTTGCACTTCTGTTTTGGTTGTCTCTGATTCAGGTTAGTATTCAACTCGTTTGTCGGCCCAAAATAGAGGCCCTGCCAGGGGAGGGGGGGGGGTCCTATGTCACTCGTCTGAATTTTAAAACATCTTATGTCAATGTTTGTGAATGCTTCACGTCGCTGTCGGGAATTGAACAAAAATTCTTTGTCTTTGTTGGATTTTAGAAAAGAGGGGATAGCAAAGCATTGCAAAGAAACCATTACAGTTCTGCAATTTCTCAGTTAACATTTCGCATATGGAACACCTTTGCACCGCTATTCACAATTAAGTGATCCACTTTCAACATTTTTGAAGACTCACTGACCAAGGAAAATTGACAAAAATTACTTCTTTTTAGCATTCAGACTGGTGAAAAATTAGCCAAACCACCGTTCTTTTTTGCTTATTCTCCGCTTTGCTTTGGCCAAGGGAGGTTGTCCCTTGTCACGATTTCATTTTACCCTCTGTCACTACTTTTTGGGCCACGTGGCTTGTCGGAATTTACCCTGGTAATGCCACACAATAACATATTTAGGTAAAGCAGTTTGGCGCTTTATGTAGTGTATTATATTTTCATTGACCTGCACAAATCTGCCATCAACTAAACTGATCAAATTGAAACACTAAATGTCCATCATTTCAGGCAAAACTTTGCAATCCTAGCCTTAAGTTAAATCTTATATTTTTATTTCTACTAGCTACTAGTTTATGGAATTAAAGGCTCAAGAAAACTTCCTGCCTAGACACAAATCCTTCATTCTTTAGAGATGAACTGGGGTAATTCCAAGCTCAGCTGTGTATAAATTCCAGTGTGCACAGATTTCACTGTTTGATTTTGGCAAGACTAGGCTGAGTTGCATGCTCTTAACAATATTTTATACCAGGTGGCAGTGAGAACAATGCAAAGTTACTTTATAACACTCAACTTCCTCGGAGACCCAGGGGTGGTCAGTCGGGCTGGGAGAAAAGGCGCGACAAAAGTTTTCAAGCACGGGCAGAAGAGCCCCTGGATACCGACTCTCACCAGACAATTTCCAAACAGTCAAGCGAATGCTCGCTCCTGGACTGCCCCTGGGTCTCCGAGGATGACTTAACTTCAGCCTCAATATTGCATGTGAATTTGTAGGTTGCCATCACAACAAATCGATGTTTATGATTCATACTTGTTTGTGCATCCTACTGCAGTCGCATAAAATAAAATATTATTTGTTTTTTGCTTTACGATGTGTCTTTTGAGGGCAAAAAATGCCTACCCACTGTCGACATATCCAACGGTTATAAATTTCAAAAGAACTTAAATGATGACATGAAATAAGTTTGACAGCTACATGCTTACCTTTTTTCAAGAAGGCCTGCGCTTCATTTCGCGAACAAAGGGTAGAATTCGTTCCTTTTTTACTGCATTATTAAATATATAAAATAAATCTAGCTATCTGAGGCATTACTGCTGCATTTCACTATCCCATAAATTCAGAAAATACGAACGGGACTGATTTCGATAGGAAAATGAAAGGGGCCAACCCCCAACGCAAGAAAATTTTTAATATTCAACACGCAGCATCACGCTAAGCTTTTATCTCACGAATTTTCCCAAGCCGAAGGTATGGTAATGTTCCAATTAAAAATCTATTCCACTAGAATTTTAGCCTACTTATCTACAAAAAACGTAACTTAGGAGTTTAAAGTACATTAATTGAGAGAATAAAAACAAGTAACCTTCCTTTCCATAACTATAGAGGTCTGACCATTGTTGTTGGGTTGAAACGATCATTGAAAACAATTGCTATGTGCTACTTTCAATAAAACAAAATCCAGCTCAACAACACTCAGGATCAATAAAGGAAGGGACATGAAAGTGAATAACCGACCTGGTTGAGCCATTCTGATGAAATTAGCTTTCTCAGCAAACAACTTGAACTTCTCTCCGCGATTTGGTCTCTCTTTCCCTTCCCAAAGTGCCTACAGGGAAGTGACAACGAACTTAGTCGGGGCGGGGGAGGGGTAGGGACATGCATCTGTGTTCGCAGATCTTTGTTATCCAAGGGTCAATTTGAAGCAAAAACTTTTACAAGTGTAATTTACATTTGTCGCTTTTCTTTTCGGACCCTAAAACAATAGCTACACTTGTAAATTACACTTGCAAAAGTTTTATTAGTATGACCCGTTATGGTTCACACTGAATCAGTCAAATTAGCCGCGCTAATATCCGGCTGTGGGACCTAGCGGATGAAATAGGAGCTATCAATAAGGGAGAAGGTCTTTAAAATTTGGCTCGGTAACAGAGTGTAACGTATGTAAGGCATTTGAACGAGGTAAGTCAAATGGACGAGATGTTGTGGTTACCAGTTAACACTAAAGACGGTTGAACGTCCTAGGAAGCCCGGAGAAGCTACTAAAGGACGTTTTATACGGGGTGGCTTCTCTCCTAGAATCCAACATCTCACCCCTATCCCCCTAATGTTCCTCTTTCACAAATGTACACCCATCGACAATAAAACTTAATTGACCTATCAGGTCAATAACCAGAGTTAAACAACTCACTTTGACTCTGAAGATGACTACCGTACAGGTTGTCGAAACGTCAGTCACTGTCAACAACAGTCCTATTCAGGACTAATACGTTCACCCGGCGGACGATCATACTCAAACTACTTATGAAATGATTCCTGGATGGGTTCAAACCTAAAAATAATACATCCATAAGGTGCGTCTGTTCGAAGTACTAATTTATCAAATGTCCTACCCTTCCACATACTTCAACTCGTGAAATCCCTTACCTATCATAAGCCTGAAAAAGCAGCCCATATTGGGTGGTGTCTCACCTTATAGACTATCATAGGTAGTATTCCCCGAAATTAGGAAAAATATATAATTTTTTGTTCAAACTACATGCTTTTTTGTGAGTATTCAATGTAGACGATGTTTAAATACTTTGGTTTGGCCAAAATGAAAACCAATGACCTAGAACGCGGTTTAGTCAGTACACAGTGCAGGTACCGGTACGTGAATGACATAAGTTTTTTTTTCTTTCCTAATTTCGGCGGACGTTTTCTTTCCTAATTCTTAGCCTGTGTACAACTCAACAGTACCTCTATACTATTATATAAGAAATTTACTTTCATATCTTTTTGACGGCAAATATTTTACCGTGTACAGACCCCCCCCCCTCCCCTCAGTAAAAATCGGAGAAAGGCCCCTTCTCCGATTTTTACTGAGGGGATGAAGGGGGGGCTCTACACAGGCCACTAATTCTTGATGGTTCGCAGCAAAGTGGCGACAGCGTGTCGCGAGGCACCTAGAACAACTAAAAACCGTCCGTCTCGGGAGCTTTATCAAACCGTGCACACGATTTCATCCTCGGTATTTCGAGAACGGAACTCTGGAGCCAGGGTAGGTCCCTCCGGGCAAGAGGTCAACTTCCAAAAGGTCACATCAGACGGCAATGACACAAAATCGGGGACAGTAAAAAAAGAGAGGTGACCACCCAAAAAAGCTGATGTTAAATCAGTAAAAATACCATTATGAAATGAAATATGGGCAACTGGTCTTGGGTTCGCTAAGTGTACCAACAAAGTGGTCATCAAAAGAATTAAGCAAATCCTTTTCCGTCTCAGTGTTTTACGTGGACAAGGAGAGGTCTCTTAGCACGTGAACCTTTTTTAGATATGACCTACATGTGAGGATGACATCTCGCATTAAAGGGATCAATGTTCTCTGAATCCATTAAGGTACCGATAAGGTATCACAACATGGTGGAAGGCATAGCGGATTTCACTATCATCGTAAAAACTAAAAAACCTATGCTCTCAATAAGTCGAACTTAATATACTTCTTATAAAAACAATACAAAATATTCACCCGAGAGCTAACCAGCTCTTGCTATATCTCATGAGGTCTCTGTCGAGTCGAACTTAACTTCCGTTTGTAGTCCAGCGTTTTATTGTACGCCATATAATGTTCACGGGGATCAAAAAGCGCGTTTTCATGCTGTCCCATGCGCACTGTCAAAAGCAACCCATAGACACTGAGATTATACGCCTTTGAAGAAATTTCAGAACGACTAACGCGACAAAAGTCTTAAATAAATAACACTATACATTTGCAACTTTGGATATAAAAAATAGAACATGTATACTTTGGTACCTAATTACACACATGCATACACATCATTCTTCAGTCACATATTCAATAAATACTAAAGAAGAAATATAACTATTAGTTTTTTTTTACAGTTTGCTCCAAAATTTTGCGCTTTCTGATCTACAGAAAGTAGGTAATGAAAGTAAGTTTTCAGTAAATTCAACCGGAAATTAAATTTTCTGCTCTTAAGCAGCTTACCTGTCTTACCTCAGTTGGCAACTGATAATCACTGAAGTTCTAACAGTTCAATGAAGCTGTTCGAAGTACCTAATACCCTTGGCCAGAAGACGGGGAATGTTTCCCTTAAATTTCTGTTGCATTTTCTCTCCTTGATCTGTCCCGCCAAATTCCCAAATTATTTTGCAATACGCAGGAATTTGATTGTCATATGATAGCCATGTCACCTGCATGTAGCTTCCGTTTAAAGCGTGAATCGAATCACGAAGTCAGCTAGGGGCACCCAACGACTGTTTTCTTCAAAATAACTAAACAGAGAATAAAGTAAATATTGCCTAGAATTTTGCATTACTTGACGACGGCTAAAAATTTCTAGATGACCGTTTCATGACCGTTTCAGGACCGTTTCATTCGATATCGATATCGATGCAATCTACTGCATCATTAGCAGTAGGATTTCTCTTCTCCGTCGCATCAAACCTTATCTTAACTTTGATTCTGCTTTAAGGTTCTATAATTCTTGTGTTAACAACTACTTTATTTATTGTTCCGCTGCCTGGGGTAATTGTTCCCACCATCCTGACCATCTCCTCTTACGACTGCTTCGTCTTCAGAAGCGTGCTGGGCGTATACTCCTTGATGCCGACCTCTCTCAGGTTTCTATTTCTTTATTTTTAAAACCAAGAGACTATAAAGGGGACAGAGAGGGCATCCCCCATACACACCCTATTCCATAGGTAATTCGTCTCGAGTTATTTTTAACACCACAGATCTCAAGGGGGATTAGACAACAGTCAATCACATAGCGCGAATATGTTCCGCGTGGATGACCCACGCTGAGAGCCACGCGTCCTTCACGAAATGATGCAGAACAAAATGGGGGAAGACGCGGAGAGCGATTTTGCTATTCCTTTTGTCGACGAAAACGACTACAGCGAGATTTCTGCGAAAGCTGTGTCAGCGAAACCGAAATTAAAAAAGAATCGCCCTTCCTCTCTTGTATAGAGCTAACAGTAGAGCAGGGAAATCCTTAACACACTGAATATTCTCTCAGGATCATTTATAATTTACAGTTTGAAGAGAGCAATTTCTGGTTTGATGTTTATTTTTTTCAGTCTTTATAGCGATTATTCCTACCCACTTACTTTGTCAATTGTAGGCGAACCCTCCTAAAGCTGAATTTCAAGGGACCATATTCAAGCTCAGAAAGAGAAATAAAATTTCGTCGTTGCTTATTTACGTCCTCCATAAAACGCGAAATTAGGCATTTTCACGCGCGCGTCGTAGTCCTGCAAAAACGGGAAAGAAATGAACAAAAAAGTGTGTTGCACGTGCGAAGTTGTTGTTTTGCTAATTAAACCAGGAGCCCATAACCCGGAGCGTCTAACTTCCATAATGCGCCTATGCAACGGCGTTTTCACAAGTAGCTTTATTTTTAGATAAGCCTTTCCGGCGAATTGCTTTCGAAAAGCCAATCACAAGCAAGTGCCTCATCAATAATAAACTTTTAATACGTAACCAGGACAACTCCTTCACATTAAAAAATAAGCATGGCGGACGCACGTGAGGAATCTTCAGAGGAATCTTCTGACCGTACTTCACGCGACAATTTCAGTATTTACACGGAAACTAGTAGTTCAGAGGAAGATCTGCAAAACGTAGAAGAGCCCGGGACGTCTACTTGATCGGCGACAACGCGTAATTCACGAAAAGAGAAATCGAAATCATCTTCGAAACAGCCGACGGTGAAAAGGTCCAAGCGACAACCGTCATTTTTCGCGGGAAAAGCTTATCTAAAAATAAACTCACTTGTAAAAACGCCGTTGCACGAATTTATGGCAGTTGCACGCTCCGGGTTATGGGCTCTTGATTAAACCTATTGTTTTTTTTGACGTTCGAGTTGTCATCCGCGTCGTTGGATCTTAAACTCCCTAAATTGTACAAACGACCGGTTTCAATAGACCGGCGAAATTTCTCATTTTATTAAAGCACTGAGGTTACGACAACTTCGAGTTCAACAGATTTCACGGGTTTTCAAAGAGTCCAGCGATTCCTTTTTCCCAGGTGAGCGCCGACTCATTTCGCTTCAATATTCAGGAATGCTCTCGATCTTTTTACGCTTTCATTGCCTTTCGCCCGACATGTTTTGCACGGCGTTTGGTCATGCGAAACCTGCACGAAACATCCACGCCTCGCGCGAGGTAACTTTATCCCGATTCTAAAAATAACTCGAGACGAATTACCTATGGAATAGGGTGTATATGGGGGATGCCCTCTCTGTCCCCTTTATAGTCTCTTGTTAAAACTTAACTGGATCTCCTTTTTTTATCTTATTAAATACAGGAAACTTTTTCTTCTTTTCGTCGTACTCCTTAATCCGAATGCTCCTAAATGTCTCAGGGACAGATTTCAATTTCTTTGTGATTCGCGTGGACCTCTGGGCCGTTTTACTACAGCCTCTCTCTACGACTTAAAGGTGCCATGCCCACGTAGCAACTCTGGGAAACGCACATTGGCTTCGCCTATAGTGCTACTAAACTTTTTAATGACCTCAGTTCCGACTTAAAAGAGTTTTCTATTTCTTCTTCTCCACTGATATTTAAATTTCTTTCCTACTCTCTTAAGTCTAAATTTCGAGGTCTGCTTCTCTCACGCATATCATCGGCCGAACACTTGGAGGATCTACTGTGCTCGACTTGCCGCTATTCTATTCATTGTCACTGTTTTTCATAGTCCTACTCAGGGGCGTAGTATCCTTTACGCAAATACGCACGTGCGTACTTGAGAAATTGGTAGGATTTTTTATAAAGATTTTCTGTTATTAGGAAAAGTAATTTGTAGTGTTGTGACTTGACTTTGTATTGTGCATCACGAAAATTGCAACAGTTTGGGTAGTGGCAGGTGAGAAATTCGAAACGTTCTTGAAATGTTTGCTTTCAGGGTGATCCCACCGCCAATAGATTGCGTATACATGAAAAGCGGAGGGAGACTGGGGAAATTCATGGAAACACATTTGTCGCCACAAAGTATCGACCCTGACTGATTATCATTCCTTTCTAGATTTATCTGGAAAGCTTTCCCATTCAAAAGCTATTCCTTTTGTTATTTTTTCTCTCTCTCTATTAATGTCGAAAAAGCCTTTCAGAGACTACTTTAATGTCGCTCAACTTGGACCCGACCATGTCGACGATAATCCAGGTAAGCTGAATGCACGTGTGGGGCGATATCAACAAGAATTGTACTAGCCTGCGTAGCATGGCGGTTTTGTCGAGCCGGGCGCACGAGCGGCGAAGCCGCGAGAAAAATAAAAACCAGTTTCAGTTGCTCCCGCCCCAATCTCCTCGCGGCTTTTCTGCCCTCGCCCGCCTTTATTACTTAGCAACCAAAACCGCCATGCTACGCAGGCTAGAATTGTACGGGAAATTTACCCCTAGGGAAAAGATGTAGTATTGTTTTCAATGACAAGCATTTAGAACAACAGCATATTTAGAATAAATGAAAATAAATCAATGGCTGACTAAAATTGTTTTTCCTTTCCCGGGCTCAAAATCGAAATAAGGGGAAACATTCAAAGTCATGGGAATGGATCTAACTACCTTCAAGCAAGAGATTACAAGATAGAGACACCACTGGGCAATCAGGCCACCTGATGATCTCCTTCCACAGACTCTTGTGGAAACACTTGATCAAATCATAGTTAATTGAGTGGAATGGTTATGAAACCCGTCAGACTCCTTTGTTACATGTTTTTGTGGACCTGAAAGTGCACAACGTTCAAAAGAATTCCTATCATTTTGATTGTATTGACCAATAAAAACGTTGCATTAATTTATTCCGTAACAATTTGCCAACAGAAAACAAAGGATTGTGCACTTTCACGGTGCTTTGAACATAAACTGCAGCACTGTTGTTTTTATCATTGATGTTTGCCGCTTTTCATAACCAGTCTCCTCTAATAACTATGATCAAATCAATGTCGCTTTCTATCCAGGAATTTATGTGGCAGTTAAGACAATCCCATTACTTGCCCTATTTCGGCGTGCGCTGCTAAGCACAGTTTCAGCTCGATAAAAAGAATAAAAACTTTACAACGCAATGCGCTGACGGATGCGTGACTTTCATCCTTGACGATTTATAAACACACAGCTGCTAATGTTGACAACGTTACCACTAAATTTGAGCAACAAAAGGGGAGGCGCCTCGCCTTCTGCCTGTAAGAAAAACGTTTAAAAGCTTTTTTTAATATCACGTTCTATTGTAAACAAGCGTGTAAACTGTCGAAATATGTATCAAAGGAAAGCAAAAACGTTATTTTGTACAAAGTTTTTGCGACCAGATGGACCCGTGCGTACTTGCCAAAATGGTCACGCTACGCCCCTGCTACTACAACCACTATTACGTCTTTTAATTTATATTTACATATATATGTATACATGTTCATTTATAATACATATTTTGCCTCCCGTCGTCGACGATTTATTTATTATTCATTACGTGTTTATTGATAGCCTATTCTACTTTTTAAAATATTGTCTCTTTTGTATATATATTTATTTGCTTTTTGTCTTCTAAATTTATTTATTTATCTATTTATTTATTTATTTTTTGAGAGCCGTAGGTTAGAAAACTGTAATAGGTTATTGCGCTTCCCTCTTTAAATAAAGTTATTGTATTGTATTGTACTGTATTCGCGTACAATTTTCGAAGCTTATCTAAGGATTCAAAGATGTGATGGAAAGAGGACTCTCACTTTCAAAATACGCGCGTTAAATTGCATCTAAAATTTTGGAGAAAGTAATACCGAAGGAGTAATTTCGAAAAGACTCAAGTTCCCCCTGGATGACCGAACACATACAACAGATACAGTTTTATAGCGCCGCTTAGAATGCATTTCTAGAGATCTAAAAGTACTCTGGATAGCCCGAAAAGTGTTTTCAATGTATTAAGGTTGGAATAATTAAACTGTGGTTGGGTGTAGCCTGGGACAGGCTCAGCAGGGCGGAAAAGGGAAAAAAAAGGGGTAAAATAGGAAAAACAGTGGCGAGCGAAGCGAGCCGAGCGGTGGACCCCTCCTCAGACTATCAGTCGGCTCGCTTCGCTCAGCGACTGTTTTTCGCGCACGATAATTTTTTCCTCCCTTTTTCTCACATGCGGAGCCTGGTCCAAGGCTACGTGTCCCTGAGAAGTTCCACGACTTTTGAGGCCGTAGCCCGCGTAGCAAGAATTTCTGTCAAACCCGCGCGGAAACGTTTGCTGCGCGGGCTCCGAGGAAAAGAAAACTGCATTTGTAGAACTCTTACAAATTGTGCATAAGATAAGAGCGTTTTAAACATTTTGCACCAGACTTCCTGGACAGTATATATAATATGTGTCAAAGTGGGACATTTATTCTGTAAAATGGCACTAATCTCCACATGTGAGGTCGATGAGGTTAAGTCGGCGTACTTCATCGAGCCGAGCTTAAATTTAGCCCGGACATAGACCTTGTCACGGTTTTCGTCGCCATCTTGACGAGTAGGAAAACGTGTGAGAAATTACAGTGTTTGTATCAGTGTTTGCACGAGAAACTAATGTCGGATAATTTCCGTAAAACGGCTGTTCTGAAAAAAATATGAATTGTCAACTTAAGCTATAAAGCAAAGGATTGTACTAAAAAAATTTTGGGCGCACCTGTGCTTAAATTTCTCCAGAAGCTTGCTTTAGATTTTCCTTATATTTGTCTATAATTTTTCCCTGGACTTTCTTACAGACAAATGTATAGAAATATATAGTGGTTCTAGGTCTTCTATTTCCAGTTGAATCCTTAGGAGTGATGCTTTAGTTTAAAATTCATATTTTTTTCAGAACAGTCGTTTTACTGAAATTATTCGACAATAGATTCTCATACAAACACTGTATTTTTCACGCGTTTGCCTACTCGTCAAGATGGTGTCGAAAACCGTGACAAGGTCTATTGTTTGCCAACTCTCCACTCCAGGTGTCAGTTTTTACGTATTAAATCTGTAGCATTTTGACGTATAACTTACAGTTTTACGACCAAGGATACATCGTCTATGCGATTCCCGTAACCGATAAAAGTTTTTGTGAAGTATTACATGTAAATTCACGTTGAAATGGAGATTATCATATGACAGTGCAAAAACTTTTTTGCAGGTAAATCCTTGGACAAACACGAGATAAAAGGGCACTGGGTAAAGCACATTCTTTCATATTCAAATAAAGTAAAGGAATCATTTATTACAACAGTTTTATGGCGAGAAAACACATAAACAACGAGGCAACTAGACGAGGCAACTTCAGTGCTAGCCCTAGATGCAGATATTTTAAAAACGTTGGACCTAGTACACAGAGTACATACGAGAAAGAGTTAACATTATTTTCAGCGAAGTGGGACCAATCTCCATTTACTACTTGGGTCGAATACAAATTACGAACACAACCTTCCTATCTAAAACAAGTGACTTTCAAGAGGAGCCTAAAACCCGGAGCGTGTGACTACCACGTACCCGTGTTACGACCTTTTCACCGGCGGAGCAATTTTGGCGCGCTTAGGCACGAATTAAGAATATCTTCTAAGTGCCACAAACCAGCCAGCCAAACCTACAGACCTGAAAATGATATTTTGACCTTCTAATGACGTTTAGTTTTCCCTTTTCAAATCGTAAACTTCGAATGAGCTCATAAACGGAGGAAAGCTCTCATTTTCACGGGGGAAAACTACTCTGAAATTTATCTAAAAATAACCTGGTCCGTAAAAGGTAAAACGCCGTGACATTGGCCTATTATGGGAGTTGCTCGCTGCAGTTTATGGGCTCCTGGTTCAATCCTTGGCCATAGAATATTGGTGCTCAGTATTAGCACCAACGAAGAATACATGTGGAACACGACTGTGCATTTACAACGTTACACTGAGTACTAATCGTGAAAGCCGAAAACGCGATCAATATTGTGAATTCGTGTTCTCTCTAACTCACGATTGCTCCAGCTCTCATAATTTGTCACTTTAATGTGTCCTTTCCAATAGCTGAATTAACGGAGACCCCACTCAAAGACAAAAAGAGCAAGCGGAAGAGCTAACAATCACGCTGAGCGAACAACTTTCATTTCCTAGGCCAATCTAAAATGGGCAGCTCATGTTGGCCCTTTGAGAGTGTAGCTTAGAGTGAGCTGCTGTAACACAAGGTTGCTACAGAAGTCAGTTTTCAAATTAAATTCCCTGAAATCTGAATTTTCTGTCGTTACAACTGAACAATTTTCCTCACAAACTGAATGACAAATACGGTAACAGCCTCCGCCCCACCAGGGGGGCAGACCCCGCTACACCTTGGCCTGTAGCTTAACAAGTTCAAATGTCTCACGTGGAGGAGTAATTTTCTTGGGAAAGCAAACGTGCTCTAAGCTCAGCTAGATCAGATCTAACCAGCTCTACAGTGATCACACAAAGCAGTCACATTCTCAGCATATTCCTTGCTTTGAGCACTAATCCCAGTTCCGCCCGCTTCTACTAGCACCTGCTATTTGCGGGCGGAAATGGACTTTATGTAAACGTTAATTCCTCATAATGAAGTGTGTCCCTACAAGCTTGACAGGTATAAATGTCACATGTGATGGAGTAAGTTTCTTAGCAGAGAAAAAGTCTTTTACGCCCAGCTAGATCAGATCCAAGCAGCTTAACCATGATCACTCAAATTGCAGACAGCAGAGCAGTCACATTCTCAACATATTCCTTGCTTTGAGCGCCAGTCCCTGCTAGCTTGACAGGTCTGAGGGCTTCATGTGGTGGTGTTAGTTCTTCAGGACAATACAAATCGTTTAAACTCAGCCAGATAAGATCAGGCTCTACTGACGCAAAGTTGTTGAAGGTGGTGATAGCCATCTGCAACAAAAACACAAGAAAACAAAACATTGCTTTGGCTATAAAATACCTAAAATTATTATCTTTTAAAAGGCGTGAATTTCCCACTTCAGAAATTCTAAGGAAAATGGATACAAGCTTTGTGGCCTTCTAGGATTTCTTGTACCCAAACAATCCCACAAATCATTGCGTTCAAAGGTTTCCCCTATAGTTTTTAAGTGGGAAAGTGTGTTTGGTCTAAGTAGCCCCCCCACCAGCCGTCGTCGCTGTCACCTTTTGTCGTTGCACAAGCTTGGCACCTTGTTGGGCAGGAGGTTATCATCGTACTTCAAGAGTCACTGGATTTATTAATTTTGTAATTATGATTTGACTTTTCCTTTTTGCCGTTGGCGGAGAATTAAGAAACGTCCTTAACAACTTTCTACCACACAAAAATCTTCATTTCATCAAATCTTAGCAAATATTGCTAAAAAATCTCAAACACACTCACCTGCTGAAGTTCTTTAGGCTGCCGACAGCTTAGGTACTGGCTACAAGTCCAGACCACAGGACTAAGACTAGCATCAGCGACCTCCAGCTGTTTGCAAAGGCGGCCCAAGCTCCT